ACAACATTAGTGATAATTATAAGTCAATTTGCTGACCGATTTTGTTAATAGTCTCATTAATTTTATCAATCATATTACGTGATTGTCCTGACAATGCTTTATGACGATATCCTGAAACTATTATGTTTAACTACTTATAGTGTTGATTAAGGATTAGTCAGTGGAAAAATAGGTATTGTTGCTTTAGGTGATTCAAAATCATCAGAAATTTATAACGTTAAAGAATCCGAGACGCCTAATTTAATTATAAATTTCAATTCAGAAATATTCGTTTAGTGTTCATTCTAGTAGGCTACTGAGTTTTGATTTTAAACGTTTGTTTAGCCAACAGCTACTTGGGGATTTAGTTATTTCACTAGTGCAGTTGATAGTACCTAAATTTTTAATCTTATTATCTAAACTATGTTCGCATTTTAGGCTGCTAATATGATAAACCAATCCATAAACCCAAATACGATTAGCAACAACGACTATGATGGGTTTATTGATAAATGTTAAAGGCGATTCAGATGATTTCTAAATTCGAAAGACATGAAGATATAGTAAAACGTATGTACGGGCCAGATTAACAAGCAGGTTGTTGACGCATATGACGATTTAAAAATAATGAACATGACCAGAAAATAGTTTTAAAGTCTAGACTGCTTGTGAGACTTCAGGCAGGAATATGATGCGTTATAAACATTCCATAAGGAGTTACAGCATTTAGCCTAGGGACACTTACAAATTTATGGCAAAGGGAACCGTAAACATATACATGTTAAGTAAAAAAAATCATTAAGTAAAATAGTTGAACTCGCCTGGGTTATTTTTGAAAATTAGATTATTCAGTGGACGACATATATAACGCTATTCGTGAGTAGTATTGATCCAAAAGCATCCAGAATAAAACATGCAGTATGGCAATTAATTCCAGGGTGCTTGATGCTGTTGAGGTTTTTGACACTCGCTCGGATCAGAACAATCGAATGAATCCAGATAATTGTATGGTTGTCATTGAACGAACCATCTAAAATGAACTTATGATTGCAGAAAACTTATAGCTGAAACTCACCGTATGTTTTTGGAGTAGTCATCCTCGTTGTTTGGCAATGGAACTCGAGAATATGAAATTAGGCAGGCAGTGGTCGGAAGAAAAGATATTACAGGATAGTGCATATTTTAAAACAGGATGATGTGTTAAGTGAAGGAACACTAAGAATAAGATCCAGATAACTATTCAATCCTTGATTGCATTGTTGGTCAACGTATATTTGCGTTATTTACAGGTCATATTTGCTAGAGCTTGATGTTTAAACAAGACTATGTCGCTGAAGCATGTAAATGCTATTACAGCTTGTTAACAAACCATCAAAGCTAATTAGTTAATATAGACGACCAGTTTTTATTATCGATTGAGCTAGTTTGTCATGAGGACTAATCAATATAACATTACGATAATTCATGTGAGCATTAATCAGAGGACTATTAGAATACAGGGTTAACATAAATATAAAATCGATCGAGAAAGTTGAAGTGGAAATAAGGATTAATAATAATAGGTTGCGTTTCTTTAGTTGGGCTCACCAATGTAGAACTATGATCTACTACGATATTATTACTGCTCTAATAATAGACCTAATCCCAAAATTGTAGATTCGTCATGATATAACTGCCTAATCTATAAGATCTTACGTGGAAGTCACACCATCGACTACACCAACTCACTGTATCGTATCAATTACCAATACCTGACGAGGAACAAGGTTAGGCTAGAGAAAGAACAATATATTTAATATGAATAGAAGATATAAAGTAACACTGAAATGGACCACGCCTGCATGGACGAGCCATGCCACTCGATCAACTCCCGTCCATTTAATTCATTCTCCGCGCCTTCTCCATTGTTAGGTATTTCCCCAAGTTAAATATTGAATATCTATTTTCTGAGTAGTCTCGTGTTCACAGCTCTGTGGATTGTGTGGCTATTGTCCAATGCCACTACATACTCCCCTTGGTTACAACTTATGTACTCCCTGATAATCACATGAGCATCACTCACTATTAATCATCTTGTAAAAACTTATTTAGCTAAATACATCTTGCAGCACCACATCACTTCGTAATATGACCCATAGGCTTAACTGATTTTAATAATTTATAACCACTATATCTCAATTAAATCGTATTCCGCCTTATAATAAACTGCATACTTGCAACTAACTTGTATGCCCAATCACCCGGCAAGTATAAATACAAATAAATAGTCTGCCACAGATCAGAACATTGAGTCTAGAGCATGTCTCTTACGAACACACTCATGTTTAACGATTTTTCCTAGCTATCTGTCCAAAATTCATATAATCATCACTCACGTAGTTAAATTTTATTTTGATAACCATTCATGTGTATTAGTAGTATTACTAAATTCTATCACGGTCAAGTAAAAATGAGGTTGAGAAAATCTCCCCGTAACTAAATAAACCGTATCAAACTAACTGGAACACTAGTTGGAATTCTTTTCCATGGTAATACTTTTGTTCTTCCAGTTAGCCTACCAATACAGATGCAATTGGAAATCACATATGGACGGGTTACCGGCATAATTGTTAATTGGTTTCATAAATTAAACCAAAACATACCAATATTAACATTTCTACAATATTCATTACTTTAATATTTCTAAACACAAAATAATTACTGCCTATAAGTTAAGTTATTAACACGCATCGTTTTATTATTATTACTGTAATCCCATTTTTTATAGTTCAAATAATCTTCACCCAAATTGTCATTTTAAGTGTGTTAATCATGAAAGCAGGTATTTTAAGATTATTACATGTATTTCCCGACCAGATGCTGCCGTTTTTTTATTTATCTTTCAGCTTATCAATACCCGGAGGATCCTTATTATCCTTGGTAACCTCCGGCGCATGACGATCCCATCCAATTTGGTATCGAACCAACATCACGTTGATTCTGGTGGGAGAGTAGTGTAGTGGCATTGAACAATAACCGCACAACCCACAAAGCTGAACACGAGACTACTCAGAAAATAGATATTCAATATTTAACGCGGATAAATACCTAACGATGGAGAAGGCGCGGAGAATGAATTGAATGGACTGGAGTTGATCGAGTGGCATGGCTCGGCCATGCAGGCGTGGTCTCTGCTGAGTGTTACCTTATATCTTCTATTCATATTAAATATATTGTTCCTTCTCTAGCCTAACCTTGTTCTACATCATGTATTGGTAATTGATACGATACAGTGAGTTGGTGTAGTCGATGGTGTGACTTCCACGTAAGATCTTATAGATTAGGCAGTTATATCATGACAAATCTACAAATTTAGGATTAGGTCTATTATTAGAGCAGCACTAATATCATAGTAGACCATAATTCTACACATTCTCCGCGCCTTCTCCATTGTTAGGTATTTCTCCGAGTTAAATATTGAATATCTATTTTCTGAGTATTCTCGTGTTCACAGCTTTGTGGATTGTGTGGCTATTTTCCAATGCCACTACAGTCCCTCTGAATGTTACCTCATATCTTCTATTCATATTAAATATATTGTTCCTTCTCTAGCCTAACCTTGTTCTACATCATGTATTGGTAATTGATACGATACAGTGAGTTGGTGTAGTCGATGGTGTGACTTCCACGTAAGATCTTATAGATTAGGCAGTTATATCATGAGGAATCTACAATTTTAGGATTAGGTCTATTATAAGAGCAGTACTAATATCATAGCCGACAATAATTCTACATGCTCTCTTGTAAGTGTATATTCTCATTATTTCGACGAGAAAGAATCAAAAAATCACTTTGCAGAAGTCTTCACCACGCCGTTGAATGTTTACGAAACGCATGTATATAAGTTTATTTTCCTTTTGCTCACGCACGAGTGTAATTCGACATGCACTTGAATATCCTTTTCATCTTTTCTAGCCGTCCTGTAAAAATCCGTATAATCAATACATGAAAAGAGCGGCGAGGTTTACGACGCATCGAAATTTCCATTTTTACCAGTTTTACACTACTTTATTGTATCACATGGTTTCTTATGGTGTGCAAAGGCAACCAGACGCTGCTGAACACTGCAAGGTATCAGAAGAGTGTTTAACAACGACAAACTGGTTGGTTTTAAACTTCTGGCTGACCACGTCTTAGGATCATCTTTGCGCCACTAGGGGGTAATGATCTGGAGCGATAAATAACCCCCCGAGATCAATGGCTCTGTAAGTCTTCGATATTTAATTCTGACCGCATCAGTTTTAATGTACTCACCTAGCTGAAGGGCTCGGTCATGCATCCGCACCAGATTACGAGTGGGCACGCCATGCTTCATTTCTCTCACAACCACCAGCCAGCTTAGATTGATCACTTTTCGACATATCGATATTCTGTCAAATATATCTTAAAACCTCTTCGCTTCTGGCTTTTAATTGCACAGGGTTGGCACATTTTGATTATAAAAAGTGTTACTGGTTAAGCCGTTGTCAAATTCCGAGTACTTGTTGCATCTTTACCACTATTAACGTCGCTGATTTTTGTGGCGACACAACACTGTTGTCCGTAACACGTTTCCAATCAAGAATCGGAATATCAGTCGAACAAGAAGTCTTGTGTTGAGGTGTTCGAATATATATATGGAGGATGGTCGATGTGTTGAGAAACAGGTAATTTGAGCAAATCGATTGCTGCGCGAAGTGTGTGACACGGTATACTCAATTATGATCAGGTGCGGGTGCTTGACCGAGTGCCTAGATAAGGGGTGTATCCAGTAAAACTAATGAGGTCAGCATTAATAATTACGACTAACAGAATGATTTATTTTGGAGACTTTTTTGCAAATTCATGTCTATTTTAAGTCAAATTGACTATAAGTACATCTGAATGAGTCACACGAAGGCATATTAAAATATAGTTCCTTTTGGGTTCTTAGCAAATTTATTTGTCAAATAGTTTTTTGTCCAAGACGTTTTAATCAACCAACTTCATGATCTACTGCTTGACCTAATCCCGCACTATTTGAACTTCGGTAGACATGACCAAGTCCAGTGATGGTAAAAAGGTTTCGAGTCAGTTGGTGAGTTAATCCCATGACACTTAGTAGTTTGCTTAACTTTTTATTACCTTTGTCTATATATTCCACAAGTTTCCAAGGTATAAGGATCTGCATTCATAAGCCAAAAGCTAGAGACTCGGCTTACCACGAAGTTTTGTATGCTGTTAACGTCTAAAATGCAGATTTGTTGTACTATGTGGTCCATTGACTAGTTACTGTCAAAAGACAATTCTGTTTCAAATATGAATTTTCACTAAACAAATGTATCTATCGATTACTATATGGCATTATTGGATTGACTACCCCGGAACATTCATTCTGTGAAGTTACCCAATGTTCTGTCGTAAGACATCCGAATATTCTGCATGAAATGCTTGAAAGTGTGTTTTTACGCAACCTGTGTAATAACTAGTCTTATGAAACACACGGAAGCTAGGCGGACTGCATGTATTATTCACTGTTTAGGTTGATGACGTATCAGTATCATGTTGACAAATACGATCTGTATTTTCTGTCCTGTGGTTTGTGGTCAAGTTTTACCGAAGTAAACTTTATGGGAAGGTATTCTGTGAACAGCATGACTGCTTTCCAATTTGCCATATTTAACGACGACTGCAAAGTACGGTCAGCACTTAGCCATAAATAACAACTTTAATACTAATAGAGGTAAAGGTAAATCGAAATAAAAAATTAAAAGAAACGTACGAAAGATAAAGAGTTTGAGATAGTACCGTGTTCATTACTTCGATAAAGATAAAAAGTTGTCTCTCCACTGCAAATTTGTCTCCAACTCTCAGTTGTGATGGTCTCATGGACACCTAGATGACCTGAATAAAAGAAAAGTGAATTCGCTGTCTTCTTATCACCACCATCTTGTTAACTCAGTTTTAGCCAGTCCATTAATGTAATATGTAGATCGACATGAGGAACACCTAATTATCTCGGTTTATAAAGGTTCATAAACCAAACAACCACTTCATTTATTGCTAGATGTCTTGCAACCTTTATCACTATGGTTTCATTATATAGGTTAACACCGACTAAAATCTTGTAAATGGATTTTTGACTCTTTTTCACTTACAGACATCAGGTTTCATTCACTGTAGACTTAACTTAATGTCATATACTAATTATCTAGCGTTAAGTTAGGTAGGTTCAGGCTGAAAACTTTCCGTTACTTAGTTTAATAGTTTTGTAATCCCTCGTCTTCTTAACGCTTTATTTTTGACTTGAATTATTTTGGCACTTAAGTTTTTTGCAACCAAGTTTATTTAATTTTTGTGTGAGACTATCATTTATAGACAAATCAATGGCATTTAAGATAGCAGGACTTGGATTTTGGCGCGAAATTAATTCATCCAATTGGTTAAATACCATTTTAGTATTATGGCTGATGTACCCAAATGCCCTGGTACGACCGAGAGTGGGAAGAGTCCGCTCTCCCTCTCGAAATGCTCTCACACGGCCACGCGTATATAGCCTCTGCCAGGGACGTCCTACTCACTGCCTTCTCGTGGCGGGGGTGTTGTTTACGAAAATGAGTGGACGAAAAGCGAATGTCCGGCGCTTTAACCGGATTCAAAACCAATGGTGCACATGGGCTCCAGTATCCTGAGGGAACAAATGGTGTATGAACCAATTGCTGGTCACCGGCTTCCATGGGACTGCATCTCCTTACGATGCTCCACTGCCTTGTGGATCAGACCATTAGGTCAAAGGCTCGGAGTGTGGTCCCCTAAGAAAACCACCTGCTTCGGTCTGGGCACCCGGGCAGTATCATAGCCCTCACACATATCGAATGAGATTTGTGTGGCGCACATGTATTTGGTGCCTCTTTGTACCATTATCTATGTGTTGAAATAAAAAAATAAAAATAGCTGATGTCAGTTCGCAACCCTAACATTCAATCGTAAATCCTAATCCCAATTCCTCGCACTAATTTATAACCCTCATTTAACCACGGTGAGCAGGTGAACATTCCGAGGTCATTTTAGCGTTGCTCAAAGGTCGTCCATAAATTATAGTCTTACCAATTTTTCTCTGCCGAAATTCACTTTGTTGCATCTGGTTATAACATAAAACGTCAAGACATACGTTTCCCACCTTATCTTCCTGATGGCTCATTCGCATTTGCCGTTAAATAACTAGTTTGTAGAACTGTCACACCTAAATGTTCGCTTGAAATATGCTTTGTCTATCCAGGGTAGTCATATTTGAATTGACTAAACTTGTCATATATTGGTCTATCTAGGGTTTTATACGTGTGCTAATTTTGTTACTGGGCCATATTCTAAGCATTTTATTTTGGTGAAAATAATATCTATGAATGACTGAAGTATAATTCTTAATAAACTCGTCTTGAATGTTACACGACACAAATTTGGATTGTTGTTTAGGAAATCTGACTTCGGATCACTCATACAGAATCCTTCTGACACAATTTAGTTAGGGGTTGTGTCAAAAAAGGTAACACATTTTGTCTGTGCTCCCGCGTTCTGCAGTTACCACACATCAATTAAATTATATGTGTTTTTGTACTTAGCTATACTGTAAATTAATAAGTGATGGTGTCGGATAAAATTGATATTATCATGTTTAGGGATGTTTGTCGACATATTGGTAGTTTTTCTATTGGTGCGCTGTTGCGTCCATTCGATTTTTAAATTTTTGCCGTAGTAATTTTTTGTAATGAGATGTGAATTTTCGGTAGATCAAATTGGGAAGTGGGAATTTTTAAGGTTGCTAAACATTTCGGTTCACACCAAATATTTTGGCAAACCTATTGTCCATTTGTTTCTTTACAGAACGAAACTGAGCAGAACTTCTTACGTGCAGCTCGTGCTGGAGATCTGTCAAAAGTTGTAGAACTTTTGAACGCTGGTGTACACATCAATTTATCCAACTCGGTAAGTATATAGATTTAATATTGATAACGGTATCAAATCTTCATAAAATTAAAATTTGGATAGAATTGGTTAATCGTTTTCTACGTTAATGAAATCAAACTAGACTAAGCATTTAAATTCTAGATTAAAATATCGGCTCATTTTAGATAGGTTCACTTGCTGTGAACTACTTACTGTATGCTATTTGTTTATGCAACCAATGTCAAGATGTAAGTTTTATCACAAGCTGAGGCAAAATTACAACTTGTTCTAGCACTTGGGTTTTATGTATTGGGTTCAGGGTCCTCACCGCTTTACACGTAACTTGTTTTATTGTATATTGTGCATGCTACCCCTCGTGTAGCGTAGGCTATCGACTAGGATTCTCCAACCTACCGTGTTCCTTAATCTCCTTCCCAGTTGTTGTCAAGTGCTGTTCGTTCACATGTCTACCTTCAATTCCTGACACAATGCATTCTTTGGCCTTCAGAACTCGAAGTCTTAACTTACCTCATGATGTAATTTGTTGATTCGCTCAATATATGTCTTACCCATCTCTAGCGTCTTACCTTAATTTCCTCTTCAACTGAAGGCTGGTTATTTGTCTGTCACAGTAGGTTGTTGCTGGTGATATCCGACCAACGGACCTGGAGTGTCTTGCACGGACAACTGTTTATAAACACTTGTATTTTTTTGATGATGGTCGACAAATTTCCCTGGCACTGATAATAGTGTGATATCCCTTTAATTCTCACACTAAAACCTCTCTCTTTTGGTATCCTTCCCGGTCTGTTGATACGTGTTTTTCCTTCGAAATCTTTCTGAAGAGAGTGTGGAGCATGTTTGTAGTTACCTCTATGTCTGACTTAAGTGCTTCAGCTGGTGTGTTGTGTGGTCCTGCTGCTTCCCCATTCTTGATTTATCTGATGGATACGCTAATTTCTTCGACTATTGGTGGGATAACTTCTACAGTAAGTTCTGTGGGGTATATCGATGTCCAAAGTGTTCAGTGGAGCTGATATACTCAAGAGTTCTTTGAGGTGCTCTAGCCACCTGTTCCGCTGCTCTTAGATCTCAGTGATTGGCTTGGTTTCTTTGTTCTTGACTGGTCGCTCTCTTTCACCGAATTCCCTAGGTAGTTTTTTCGTTGTAATGTAAAGTTGTTTCATATTTCCTTCTCTTGCAGGTCTTTCCGCTTTGATTGCTAGGTCTTTCACGTACTTCTGTGTGCAAGTTTTAATGCTCTTGAACAGGGTTGAATTGATTGAGTTTATCAGAATCTGAAAGAAAAGTTGTATTAGACATTTGTAATGCTGTTTGTGCAGTTGTCCAGCACTTTTTAAGTTCCAGGTTTAGCTTGGCCACCACTGTGCTGATCTGGAGCTATATCAGTTTCTTGCTTTTTTCCTGCATCCTTCATGAAACCCATGTAACTTAGTGTATGCGTTTATGCGGGAATGTGATGCCATCTGTAACCGTTTTGTCGAAGGCACATAGATTTGCAAACCTCTCACCACTCCGATTCCTTTCTGCGAATACATGTCGTCCCATGATGTTTTCATACCCGATTGTGTCCATTCCGACCTTGGAGTTTAGGTCTTCCATCAGGATGGTCAGGTCATATCCTGGGCACTATTCTACAATCGACTGCAGCCTCTTGTAAAGCTGATCTTAATCATCTTCATTGTTTTCATTGGTGGGTGCATCGCACTGGATAACGTTCATCATAATAGCCTTCCTCTTTGTTTTGTAGGACACTTTGTTGATCCTGGATTCATGAGATTGCTATCCTATAAGTGCTTATCGTGCTTCTTTGGAGGGTGTCAGTGCAACTTCTTGTGTGTACGAAGCTTCATCTTCTTCATGACTAGAGTGCGACAGAACTCTCAAAGCTGATCTTTTTTGTCCAGCTTCCGTCCAATGGCCTTCACTTATTTCGAGTATCGACAGTTTGTATGTTTTTCATTTCTGCAGCTACTTGAATGGTCTTATCGGTCTCTCTGATTGTGTGGATATTCTATGTACTTATGTTAATTGTTGCTCTGGTTGTTAGAAGGGGTATCGACCTCATGATTTTTGAAGAATCTCGGCTTTCACAACATGGCGTCATAACAACTGTCAGCACAAAGTCTGGGTGGTTTCAAGGATTTTTCTCTAATTAGCGTCTTCTTAGCAAAATAGCTTTTTATAGGATGGGTTTGCTGACCCCGTGTCCAACCCTTCTCCTTTATCCGGGTTCTGGACCGTCGGTAACCCTAGAAGGGCTCCAAGTGAAATCAATTGATTTGGTTTACTCATGGATTTTTATGTATTTGTGATTTTTTTAGTGTTAGTATTTGGTTACTGAGTAACTACTGCTGATTTTATTATTATATCCACCATACAAGAAACATTATGCTACTCATAGGAAATATTTTCATTTTTTTAAAGATTGATATACAGTTTGCTAGTCGTTTTATTAGCTGAACAAAGTTAGTGATTACTGCGGGTTCAACTTATAACTATATTTACAATCTATATAAACTACCAGTCACAATGTTCGTGAGCATATGAGTTCAATTCTTTAGCAAACGCGTACCAAGTACAAGTTTATGTACTTGTCTGTTGGACGCACATTTCAATGAAAGCTATTGATACTACTACTCATCCTCAAATGGAATTCGTTGGAACGGACGTTTAAGCTGTGTACTGAAATCATTAATCCTTCTACCTTACCTTTTTTAAATTCAGTTTGGGTTTATGAATTTTGGTAATGAATATCTTTAATAATATTGAAACAGATCTGTAAAAGCTAAAAAGATGGTAATGTAACGTATTCAGTATTTAAACTTTCGAATGGTGAGGATTTTTTAAAATCAGTGACGAAATACATTGAAACATCAAAACTATCAATAGCCTAAGTATGTGTGGTTACTGTTTGTCTGGTTCACTGTTCTCACCAATCATTTAATCTAATTTTAGCCTCTTTAGATTGCTAATTATACTACTATTTTTTGCGTAATATATTTCAGATTGGACTTACTGCACTTCATTTAGCCTCAAAAGAAGGTTATGTTCATGTTGTCGATGAGCTACTTCGACGTGGAGCAGATTTCGATGCTCCTACTAAGAAAGGAAATACAGCACTTCATATCGCAAGTTTAGCTGGTCATTTCGAAGTTGTCAAGCTACTTTTGGATGCTGGTGCCAATATAAATCGTCAGTCAGTTGTAAGTTTTAGCGGAAATGGTTAATTAATTAGCTAATTAGCGAGTATTGTGAGAAACTAGCTATCATCATACTTTATCGTGAAAGCGAACAATAAAATTTGTCGAATTAATAGATTTCTCAGGAACTCATTTTTCATCGAAGAGTAACTTAATTGTAGCTAATCGACGCCAGTTTAGTTATGTTGTGACATTTATCAGTCAGGTTTATCATCAACTATTTTTTAATATTGATGCACTGTAAAATCTATGGTTTAGCTTAGAATATAGTCTTTTATTACATTGTTCAATCTAAACTATTTTTTTCCATGAATGAACTTGTTTACCATTTAAGTAATTATTCATAAGTTACAAGATATGTTTTATGCATGTAACAAAGATGGTTACCTAAGTGTATTCTTTTCGTCTTCCTTGTACTGATCTGATAGTGTCGACTTCTGATCACCACTTTATGGACTCATGGATAACTTTTTTCATGTGCTTCATAGTTCCTTTGTTCAGTTCAGAAGTAATTAACGTTATACGCTTCTGAATACTGAATCAGTGTAGAACCCTACTTTCACTAATTACTGTTTATTCATAAATGATAAAACTGATTATTATTAGTTTCTGTAGGTAGCTTGTCGTCGATGTTTCTAGAATTTATAACTAAATTTTCCAGCTGGGTTGCGTAAAGACATGTTTCAATTCATTTGTAAGATATCAACCAACAAAGAACTTGCGTAGGTTACGGTTTAAAAAGCAAATTTATGCATAACTCCTGACTTACGTTTATTTATACAGGGTGGTCACTTGGTTAGAACACTCGTGTTTAAACAGATCTCCTCAGTTCCAAATTTGGTGCTGGGACAATATTACTTTCCATTTGAAGTGTGGCTCTAAGTCAGATACGCGAATCGTTATACGCATATATCAGTACATTTTTATTTACACACACCATGTTATATGTTATTAACTCGCCATACAAACCGATTCCATGGCTACTCTCATATTACTGAAATGGAATGTCAGTTTGACGAAATATATTTATTTATGGTATTTGTATTTGAACACTATATTCTATCTGTAAATCAGATACTATTTAGGAGTTACTCATTCTAACTCTGAATGTTGTTGGTCGGTTTGATCGTCATTATTTGACTTACTAATATTTCTTGATGAAAACTCCCTTCAAACTATAAGAAACACCAGTAATCAATAATTGTATGACTTTTTGAGAAAGATTTCTTGAAGTTCTGTCGAGAAGCCACGACTTATATGATCAGCCAAGTGTGATGCAACAGCTATTCTCCGATGACTTTCTTATACGCTGTTGTGTATCACAAGTTGATTTTAGTCAAAGATTGGGTTTATCCAATTTTTACTTAATAGCTTAATAGTTTTGTGCTCACTGGTAACCTGAGTTTTCTGATTTGAATTCTTTATCAGATCGTGAATGCGTGCGCACGCATTATCCAGAAGTCATAAACGCCAATGAAATAGCTGTCTGGTGCTTTGTACTTTTCAGTAGATCTTTCCGTCTGCTGTCAGTTCATTGTAGCAACCAACTTCAAGTTGTACAGAATCTACATAAAACCCCCATTATTAAGTGTTCATGAATTTGTTTATTTCTTTTTCAAATGTTGAATTGTAGATTGGATTTACCCCATTGTATATGGCTGCTCAAGAAAATCATCTTAATGTAGTTGATCTTCTACTTCAACGTGGTGCAAACCAAGCATTAACTACTGAAGTAAATCTTTGTTTTCTAAAATGATTTTTTACTGCTAAAAAAGCTTCCAATTATTTTTTTGTGTTATAGAAATATGGTAATTTTTGTTTGCTGGGATAATAGAATTTTCTCTTCTATTTTTGTGAAAGTATTTCGTGTAATGTAATTAGTTTGTGCTAAAGAATCCGGTCATATTTCAATCGTTATTATTATTGTTGCAATAGGAAACTGTGGATCCGGTAGCTCCTAAAGTCATGTCTAAACCATTGGTTTGAAACTTCTAAGTATTCTTCCATCTAATGGTTTGCTGTTGGTTAGAATTCCATTGCACTCAACTGGTCTTTGGCAGGCATGTTACATTACTAATTAATCACCATAGTAACAGTTTAACTCGAAGCTAAATAAACTTGTACTTAATAAATGCGTTGGATTAGTTTAACTTACTAGATTCAAAATCTGTTTCATTGATTTCCATCGCAGCAGCTGGATAGTATGTCTCATCTTAGCGTTTGCTGATCGATGCGCATTGTTGTCATATAATTATAACTTATATGTTACAACGTACTTACTTACTTACGCCTGTTACTCCCAATGGAGCGTAGGCTGCAGACTACCATTCTCCATCCCATGTCACAATGTAGTTCACTATTAAATAATATATTGCTGGCTTTGTCATATTGATTGATCTTTCTTTTGTAATTATGTTGTGTAATTTCCAACCTCAACGTCAATGACAATGAACTAGACTACTTCCCATCCTTTTTTCTACCCATTAACTAGAGATAAAATGAGAAAGAGAGAGACGCAAGATTATTAATTATTTGGCTACATTCATTTATACAAATATTTAATCACAGTCATTCAAAGTTTGTCATACCGAGCAAACTTCACACAATTAATGTAAATAAATGTCATAATAAGTTGAAAAATTTCTGAATTGATCCAAAAGTCAAGTGGGGATCTCACTGAATTAATGGAGAGTTTAACTGAGTGAACATAATCTTACACTTGTTCACCTCTTAACTTTTGAAATATTGGTTGTCTACCCAATGGTCTACATACTTTTCATATTAAGTTCTCGTCTTTTCCTCACACACTTCTGAAATTGTGCATAAAAAAACTGAACATTCCCACAATTATCTGAGATTTCCAGTAGTGTTATAACAAACTGATTCAATTCTTACTTAGATTAAGTGCAGTGAGTTAAAGCATAAGAGAAGAAAAGTGTAATTCTTGTTTATTATTACTACTGTGATTAACATCATTCATACCTTTTCCCAATAATTTAAACTGTAGTCAGTAAGTTTGTTCAATGGTACTTTGTTCTCATCATTTATTAGGAAAAGGCCGAATAAAGTAAGCGGAGTTTCGGCAGATAAATAATATCGGTTTCCTTTCACCTAATTTTTACTATTTTTGTTATCATGAGACCAACCAAAAGTCGATAACCACTGATGAAAGATGTTATGATTCTTTTTTTCTTAAAGAAAATGCCTATTATATATGATCATATAAGAATGTTCATGTGTTAAATATTTCTGATTTAAAGTCATTTACTTCAAAGGTATATAAACTAGTGTAGAATTTATTGCCTGTATGTAAATATAAATTTTAGGGAAATATTAGCTGAAATTCTCTGTCGCACATTGGTTAGATTTATTATTATTGTTGTTGTTATTACTACAGAAAAGTTGACTTTGAAATCAATCATTTCTTCCACATTTTCTTGGACAGTTATGCATTTTTCTGGTTTTATCTTATACCTTGATTTGAACAAACGAATCATCCCTAACACTCCTATTCATTATCTTGCACAGATGTTTTTTGTCTGCATTATTTTGATTTTTATGAGTTGATATTTGACCTATTGATTGATGTACGGAAACACCCCTTAAATTTTATTAGACTAGAATATTAGTAGTGATGCTAATAGTAACCAGTGTAACTCAACACTAACAATTTTTCTTTTAGTAAAGAATTCTTATCACTAATTTTCGTAATATTGCAACAATACTTTGTCATTTCATAAGGACCACTGACCAGTATTTCGTTCCAAGTCACCAATCAGATACTTATTCCAATTTTTCTCTATTTCAGCGTCTACCATTTCCTCTATAGCATATTACACACCTGAGCAGTACTATTGTCCTTAAGCGTATGCAGCTAAGTTGCCATCAGTCTGTTATTCGCAAGCACTTTGTGCCCTACCTTTAGTCCAGGAATAGCGACCAGTTTCAACTATATCGATATTTCAAACGGACGTGGTTTATATGCAGACATATCGAACCGCACAATATTATAAAATGAAAAATAACAATTATACATAAACAAGTCAAAAGTGGTTGTGAATAGGGGGAAAACTGTGAGACTTGCGAGAAACTAGGAATAGTAATTCGTATGACAGTAGTTTATGAGTAAACCGAAAGCTTAAGATAGACGGAATGCTTAGATATAATCTAGTTACCTAATAATTATGTAATAAGACATATAAGACATATAAAAATTATCCGTAAATCAGTTTTAGGGGTCACCATTCCTTCAATCTTCGTTCTGATATAACAGTTTCTGTTTAGCTTATATTCCCATTGCAATTATTTGAAAGTACCATTAATAAAGCTTTTTAATCGTTAGTATCTGCCACCCATCTTAAATCATGAGTTTTCTATCAGAATAGCTGCTACCAATAAATTTTTCCACCTATTGTATATAAGATGCATGAACCACAATATATTCGTCTCTTGTTTTTACACAGGATAGATAGTGAAGAGAAAATTCTCACAACTTCAGGGTTTCTGTTTTCTGATATTTCACGTCACATGTAATCGTAGGCCTTTTATAACAGCGCGTCAGCACATAGTTATTATTTGTAATTACCAAGCCTAAATAAATCTAAAACATGAAGATTGATTGCAATGTTTTCGCAGTTGGTAATAAGCACATCAAATCTCTAAAAACGCCTTGAAAGGGCACACACATCACAGGGAGACAGGGTTTTTACAACCAGGCTTTGATACACTTCTACCATATATATAACCTGTTATTAACCGTTGAATACGTATAACAAAATAAAATGTCAGTAGATAAAGTGGTACAGCGGTAGTTAATAGTTAAACTAGTTGCATTTCAATCAGTGAGTCACAGGATCAAACTTGCTCCAATCTACGTCAGTTTAAGCAGTCACGCAGCATTTCTAGCCCCTCACATAATGCTCTTCAATGCCAAGTACATAAATGAGTACTTGGCTAGTGAATTACATTAAAGCAACTAATTAGGAAAAGGTGAACGCGACGACGGATTACTAAAACAACATAAGTGAATATTCCATTCTGTTTAAAATGAAAGATTACTCGTCCACTAAATTCCCTTATCAGTCACTTCTGTGTTGTAATAACTGAGATCGATTGTATTTTTGTTCGTTCTCATTTTTTTCTTCTACAGGATGGTTTCACTCCTTTAGCAGTAGCCTTACAACAAGGACATGATCGTGTTGTGGCACATCTTCTAGAAAGAGATTCACGTAGTCGAGGTGGCATGCCAGCTCTACATATTGCAGCACGAAAAGATGATGCAAATGCTGTGAGTTTGTTATTGAACAATGCAGAAGTTAATGTGAATCATCAGTCTCAAGTGAGTTTTACTGTTTTCTTTTCAGAATTTAATTAAAAATGCACGTACAAGAACTGGAAGAGCTTGATTTCTAATCTTGGTTTTGATACTGTTAAGATGCAACCTGAAGTAAATGAGCTACATGTAGCTTACATTTTATAACTTCCCCATACATCCTAATAAGTATTCGAGTACATATAGCGAATAACTCTTCACGAACTCCCCCAACTTTATTGATTATAATGTGGTCACTAGTGGCCAACTTAATAATAGAACCAGAAAGTTCTCCAGATAAGCTATGACATGTGGAGTTTAACAATGTAATGTGTGATGCAGCTACTTACTGATGATTATCATGCTACATCGCGAATTGAACTTCAAAATAATATAGGCCTTTTGCTTTCGAGTCAGTACTGTAAGGTCATCACGTTAGCCACGAGGCTTTGCGACCTTGGATTTAATCACTGATTGGGCTGGATGCCCGACTTTTGGTTAGTTTTAAGTTAGGTCTTAACGACTGTCCGGCATATCACAGTCTTTGACGTAAACTATCTTTATGTTGTCTTGCACACTTATCAAATAGTCTAATGTGGACAACACAGTTTTCTGTTCATTAAAAAAAATTAACTTCAATTAAAAAAAGGAATTTCTTTACCATTGTGATTTTTTTGCTAAATATGTAAACTCAGTGGTAATGTAAAGCAAATAAAATAATTTCTTACATATATTATTGGCTTACAATAATAAACTCAGTTTCAGAGACTGTTAGCTGATTGAACTAGCTACTATTTTTCTGTGTCTGTGATTATCTAGACAATGCATGCACAATTCCACTTTACTAAATTTTGACAGATGGATTTTTAATGATACGAAATGCTTTTTGTAAACAGTTTTGTTGTCCAGTATCGATTGATATTCTTACTGTGTAATAATTATTAAAAAAGTGTCTTCTGTGTAGAAACTTTTTCTGACCAAGTTCTCGTGTAAAATTCATTCTGTCTGTATATTTCACTTTTAATGTAAAACTATACAATCGATAACATTGATAATAACTACATCAAAAATAAAGCCATACCTTAATGGGTATAAATCACTAGATGGAAAATTAAAATCCGACTCTGTTTACTTTCACTCTAGACAATAGCATTATTCATACACGGAACGCATAACTCAAAGCTGGTTACACATTATATTACATTGAAATTTATATGAGGAATATCCGGTGAATTATGGTTAATGTGATTATTATCATTTGTCCCTATCTACTATAAAACTGTTTGGTTTGAGAGTCACGTCTATGATACATTTCTAATTGTATTGAAATTACTTTTAATTTCTGGCTTTCTTTTGCAAAGTGATTACTTTACTTTTTGGATTTACGTTTGGTGTTATTACATAATCGTTTACTAATGTTTTTGTTCGATTTGGTGGTGTATTAAAGAATTTGATTCATTTCATGACGTGTAGTCTTTTCAAGGAATTTCTAGATCGATATACTGGCTGGTGCATAATCAGCTCTCAGGTTTAACCTCCGTTTCTGTCTAATTTGCTGTAGGTGAACCAAGATAGTGTGTCACTTGACCTGAGAGGAATTTTGTGACTTAAATCTGAGCAAATAAACTTATACTCTTGGCTATTAAGTTAAATTAAAAATCGAATTTTTCTAAAGTTGGTTGGCAACTAGGTGTGGAATATTGAAAATACTTTTCGTCCTATTCAGGACTCGTCAGCTGGATGCACCTATGTCTCGGTGTGTGGCATCAATGACAGGAAAATATCAAGTTGTGTCAAATTAAATAAATGATAGAGCAGGAACCAGTTATATGGCTGAAATTTGTTGCTGTGTTAACTTTATCGTTTCTAGTCTCAATCACCTTCTATAAGCGTTTTTTCTTCATATTGCTTCCTTCTATTCCTAAGATTTTTTAGGTTATTCTTCCCCACTACCTCTTGTTATATTGTCTCTATTGTTTCTCTCAATATTATAAGATATAGTTTCGTTTGGAATAGGTTCATGACATTAAAATCGTATTAAGCAACTAGTTTATACGAGTAGAAATGGTCTACACCACAGTATTTAGATTTTAATTAAGGTAATCAGTTACGTTTCTTTTTCTCAACAGAACTATTATTTGTGACTGCAAAAACATCATTGTTATGAAGTTAAGTTTTTTTATGATTTGATTATCGGGTTTTCGGTTGTTTGAATGAATGAATCCAATGATAAGACTGATAGATGGGATGCAATAATACCATATGACATAATGATAACTACTCGGGCAACCGAATCATTGATATAAAGCTCCCAACTGAACTGATATGAGATAACAAGGTGATCGTCCAGGAAAATAGGTTATTTCGTGTAAAAAGATAACACGCTAATGTGAAAAAGGTTAATGGATGTAAAGGTAAACTGATTCGAAGTCATTTTACAGATCGATGGTGGGAGGACTCATATCATTCATTTGCAATAGAATTAATGCTTTGCTTCTTCATACCAGCTATTCGATCATTAGATTAGTTGCTAATAATTCACACTTCTATCTTATTCATTACATCATAATAATGATCTGTTCTTAGTATTAAAGTAATTATGAGGAATGTATGGCACACGTCAAGACTAATAATGAAAACAGTAAGTATATGAATAGTAAATGGTAGTTTAACAATTCCATGTTCAAATCTCACTATGTTCAGAGAAATTATCACTAAAGCTCACAAAATGTAACTTGAAGTTAGATTACGTAAATCTAAACTTGCACATTGTGTTACATCAAGTTTGCTAGTGAAGTGTAAAATCAAAATTACACCAAGTATAAAATATCTAATTAAGCCTTATAGAGGAATGTTTAAAATGGATTTTTAAAAGAAATACAAATGTGATTTCAGAAAGTCCTCTCTCTGACTAATATTTTAATACCATTTTAAATTTATGACTTGACTGAAGAAAACCTAGCAGAAACAACAAAAATATAGTCGTTTTATTGATTGATCACTTAATAGTAACCAGTGTCATGTATGTAGTGCTGATCAAGTTGCAGTTTGACTACTAGTCTTAGTGATTCGATGTTAAAAGTTTGAAAATAGTCACCTGAACCGCCTAAACATAGATGTCGTGTTATTTGTTGCTGTGTAATGTTGGTTCGAACGCCGCGCAAACCATTCGTTCCATCATGATTGCAGGTACGCTTTGTCGATAAATCTCGACCGACAATCAACTTGGGTTTGGAGTTTATTACCAGACTGGAATCTTGAATAATTTCTTCAAACACGTTGAACGTGCTGGAGTAGGATTAAGCTAACAGAAAGTTAGGCAGAGCCAAAACACGTCATTGGTCCATGTAGTTGTTGACCGTTGATCTGGACCATACAAACTATCTAGTTTTAGTGATGTTTGTACGGCAATCATAATCAACGATTGAAGACCTTAAGTAATGTGGTTCCAAATCAGTCTGTGGCACAATCTCACTTGTTATTATCTTTAAAATTATTCTGTATATTCATTTTTATTACCACTAGTACTATATGTATTATTATTTTTCTCTTTGCCATTTGTCTTGGTAATATATTATAGCAATTGAAGCGGTAGTAACCTTGTACCAGATTTAACAATGACTAGGTTTTATGAAAGCATTCAATTTTATGAGATTTTCTCCAGTGATAAATTTGACTAAACTAAGAACAGTAAATGTAGGAGAATAAAATGATTTTATTTACTTAGTATGGTTTCTTTTCAGCTACTTACAAACTAGAAACAATAGTAGTAATAATTATGTACAGTGTGTGTACTTTATATCATTTTATGAAGTTGAAAGAATTGTAAAGTGGATGAATATTTATATTTTATCATATGTGAGAATCCTGGAAGACATAGAGACACGTTTCTAGAGAATGAAAATCGATGTCGAATTTACATGATAGCAACCGTAACATGGGATAGATTATAAGCGAAAGGTGATTAAAGTTTAGAAAAGATGCGAGAATAGAAGGAATAAATTTATTATGGAAACTAAAATAATTTATCACGTAATCGAATGATGAAAAGTAACAATTTTTATTCAGTTCTTAAAAGAATTTCATGAACTATAGTCATTTGGCCAAGTTTACTGTCAATCCTGCATACTTTCTACATTCCCTAAGTTCTTAATAGAACAAAATAATCCTTTTTAGCGATTTCATTTTTCCATAGTTGTCTTCCATATTATTTTCCTATTTAGATTTCTTGATTATCAGTATGTGATTTTTACTTTGAGTTTTTGGTTTAATGACATTCATGGTTATTCGCATGAAACTGGTTTAATATTCTTACAAACACAATTTTTATGTGATATTCGTCGTTAGATGACCTTAGGTTACCATTGAAAAAGCCGAGGGGCATACTTTTGAGAGTCCTACATTAGGGCGGAACCGCTATTCAGTGCTTCTGTAGCGAATATAACTAACAAACTAAACAAGATCCCATAAAATCAACTCTTAAACTTCTAGCTTGTTGTTCGGGTCTTAATTTGTCACATGTATATGCGATTGTAATATTTAAGTTCTTGTATGGATTTCCAAACTAATTGTTCTTTGACCTAATGGGTGTATTCGACTTAATGGAAAGCTTTTATGACTATTGTTCATTGTAACTTGATGTTATGTATTTACCTACGACTATCACCATATTTTTGGGCTTTGTTTTTCCTTTAAAAAAATATGACCTATGTTTATATATATGTACGGACACCTGCTTGAATATCTGGGTTACTTTTTTCTGCCATCTAATTGTTTCAACAAGTTATCTGTTTTTTTCACTTTGTTTTTAACGTCTCATTATGTCCATTAATCGTATAACCTATACAGGCGCGTTTATGAAAAGCCTACGACCTTTCGCTGCACAAGTTACAAAGAAGTACTATAAAAGACATCGTGGTGGTTGGCAATATGGGTTAAAGAGAATGACCATTAATCATATGTCGATTCCCGAGCTGCTAAATTCTAACTGCCGATCACTAATCAACAAAGTGGACTATCTTCATTTCCTACTAATTCAAAATATGTATCGTAATTGTGGTGTCATCACTATTCAAGAATCTTGGTTCGTTGATTTACAGGACGACTGTCTAGTATCATTTTTATAAGTTTTGATCGACTCACATCTTCACAACTAAAACGACTACGGAGGTTGAAAGAAAGAATGTAAAAGGAGAAAAACTCTAATGAAGCTCGTAAGCTAAATGGTCTGATAAACCTAGAGATTAGGCGTCTCAACTCTATGTTTACTCAAAAACTCTCCAAGTATGTGGAAACTTTAAAGAAATTACAGGTGACAGACAGATTAGGAATGATAACCAACTGAATGTTTGTGACTTAAATAAATCTTTCGTACGTCAGTCATCTTTTTTAATGCTCCATTCATCCACAGGTTTAAAGAATAGCTGTGTTAATAGTTTCACTGAAACTGATGTCCGAAAATGTCTCCAGTCTCTTAATTCATCCCGATGTTTAGGACCTGATGGTATCCCAAACCTTTTGAAAAAATGTGCTGATGTCCTATGTTATCCATTCACGACTATCTTTAACAGATCTTTCTCATCTAATCTCATACCGAAAATGTGGAGAAAGATGAAGATAATCCCTGTACCCAAGAAAGTATCTGGTGATAATAATGTGAAATTTAGACCTATTGCAATAACTCCACCCTTCCTCAAAACAATGGAAAAATTATTAATACTTCCACTTCAACCTGCGATAAAAGAGCATATTGATCCGTATCAGTTTGTCTACAGATGCAAAAGAAGCACCTTAGATGCTGTTGCTGTTCTGCATCACAATATCGTGTTCAACTTAGAAAAGGGTCAGAAGTATGTTCGATGCGCTTTTCTGGACTATACTTCAGCTTTTGATTCTGTACCAAGACAACGTTTACTTAACAAGTTAATCAGCGTCAACACTGACAGCTGGATAACAAATTGGCTATGTTCCTACCTCTTTGTAAGGGACCAGTACACTGTATTTAGAGGAAAGTGTTCAGAGTCTCTACTGTCTCATGAATGTGTACCGCAAGGATCTGTTCTTTCACCATTTCTTTTCTCTTTTTTTCTGCATGATCTGCTATCTTCCACAGAAAACACTTTTTTGAAATATGCGGATGATCTCACTGTATGTATGCCTATTTCTTCCTCTTTACATCCCATAGAAATAAATGAGTTCTTGTCTCGTATTGATTGTTGGTCTGTTGGTAATGGTCTTATACTTAATCCGTCTTAATGTCAAGCTGTTGACTTTAGCATGAGACATGAACGGCATCTAAACACCATTTTGAGATCCCATAATGCTTGTGTCATTGGAGACTCTTTGATAAACACAGCGTCGAAGGTCAAATATCTTGGTGTTACCTTTTCCTCTGATCTCTGTTGGTCTTCTCACGTTTTATTGTTATCGAAGAAGGTTTTCCGTCCGACTTATTACATAAAGAGGTTGCATGCTCTTGGGATCACTCGTTATTTACTCTTACAATTTTTCAATTCTTGCATATTACCTATTATTCTTTACTGTTCTCCATTATTCTTTCCCGGGCTTTTGAGAAAAGACTTTACTGCTGTATTGTGGAGAGTGCTGAAGGCAGTTAACAAGGTGTGTGGTGAATCTTTCGAGGTCATAATTAATATGGTTGTGGATAGACATCTAAAGTCATGCAAACTCTTGACAGGTGTTATTTAATCAGATGCTAACCGTCCCCTTCACTCTTATCTTTCTCCTCGTATATCTTCTGATAGAACGAGACGTAATTACATTAAAATCCAAGCACTCAAGCAAAAGTATAAAAGTTCTATAACACCTTACCTAGCAAATATACTCTGTGACGAACAGGTTGTTAGAGTTAATCTAGTCAATAACCTGCATTCTTAACATGTCTCTAATTTGAAAAGTTGTAGTCTTTCAGATTGTTTTAAAACACTTTTTGTCTTTGTTCCTGTTTTTTGTTTGTATGAAACTTGTTGAAATAACTTATACTGAGAATTCTATATTTTACCAAAATATAATATTGAATAAAGCCAATAATAATAATAATATAAAGTCGTCTAAGGTCACATAATTTTTGTTTATTTTGGCTTTTGCCCTATGCTCGATAATTCTGTACATGACCTTAGTAAACTATGTGACCTTTGGATTTCATAGGTGTTTTACCTGGTCCAAACAAATGCATATAGATTTAGTTCACTAATAAAGTTTTCGTAATCTTGCTGTAAATTGGAGACTGCTGTAACGGGAGAAAATTGTATTAATTATTTACACCCACTGTCGATCGCCCAAGTTGATATAAGTAGATAATGACTAACCAGGAAAACTGTATTGCTATAACATAACTCCCTAGTGAACGGACACAAAAATGACAACTGATTGAGGAAAGTTTTTAGTGAACGCAAATTTTTGTAGGTCTAAAGTTTATCAGGTAATTCACCAACCAATGGAAACTGAAACTTGTCTATCTGGAGCTCAGTTTCTATCTATCATTTCAGACTTTTTAAAGAAATCGTTCATGTTTTTTATATGAATATCACTCATTTATATTTAATGTAACTTACAATAACTGATATTTGTTGGTTTGTTAAACGAATCACTTGCTACCGGATTTTGGTTTTGTCACTTTGTTATAAATTGTGACCGCCGATTAGAGAGCAGTAACTTATCGATCGGATCAAAGACGCGTAAAACACGTGCGAGCAGTCTAGAGTTCTGATTGGTCCTGCTTCCTGTCTAGCCCAGCCATTTAAGCCCAGAACACAAGTCTCAGCCTCTGCGATATGAATTATGTATTTCAAACATACTCTGTTTATATACCAATCAAGCAGACCACAACGTACCAATAAAATATGAAACAACAGTTGTACAGGAATTAGCCAGGTGTGGCTGTGAATAAGGGAGGTAGTAATTGATATACTGGGTATAACTCACGAATGGTAAAACGTATAATAATAGTTTATGGGTCAAAATAAAGCTTATAATAAGAGAAACATGAATATGAATAGTTTAGTTATTTAACAATTATACGATAAAATTATACGTTTAGTATTGGCCCATAAAAGGATCCCAAAGTTACCATTCATTATGTTTCTCGGATCCTAACACACTTAAATCATAGTTTCCGATAGTCACATTTCGGTTTTATTTCGAACTATGATAGGTGTTTTTTTTAAAATTTCAAGTCAAGAAATTCGGTCGGTTATTTATGCCTTAACGTTGTATCTTCTCACTGAAAGATCATTCCTTTTTGTATATAACTTATCTTTGTGGGAAGTAATATGTTTTTAAATGTAGTACCTTAGATGGAAAAAATACCATTGTCTCCGATCGTGGATCGCATGTAACTTGGTTTTCAGTTTTCAATAGAAAAAGCTTTCGTTCATTCCATATAAGATCAGCGAAGCATAGCAAACTTAAGAAATTTTATTATTTTACTGCTATCTATGTGATAATGACCAGATAAGCTTTTCTGGTTATTTCATAATGTGTTAATCAACTGAAAAGTTTGTGTTATCCTTGTAAACCGAAATTGTATTGATAATCATTTTAACTAATAAATGTGTTATTAAAGCCCATAATTTATACTTTACACTGATTCATAAGTTGAAATACTGACTTTTCGACTTCGTTACAAATATAGCAACAATAATGTTTTGTATTATTCTCTAGTTATGTGTTGAATTATTCACTTGTTTAGCACCTTACTGAGCCATTTGTATCAGTCCACATGATTTATTTCAGACAGTGTTTGTAAATAATTGTCCACTTCTTTGCCAACACACGTATCATATCGTTGAGAACAGTACTATATTTTGATATTATGGTGAAATAAATTATCTTTATCTTCAGATTATTTTTTTTCTACCCTCTTCAAGCCTGGTTTCACTCCATTACATATTGCTGCTCATTATGGTAACGTGACTGTAGCACGTGTACTTATTGAACGTGGGGCAGATGTAAACTTTCAAGCCAAGGTAGATTATTGTTTTTATATTCATTTCTACAAATTGGTGTTGCTAATAATTTGAACATTTATAATATCCTGACGTTTTAATTTGTCATTGTCGCTGACTAACCTTTCGTAAAATTTGTTTCTGATGAAGATTATTAACTTTCCTCAATTTATTCATTGTTTTGTACATGATATTTCATTTCATTAAAAAAATCCTACTTTTAGATTTGTTTATTGTTTGTCAGTGTTGTGAGATAATTATATTTCCTTTTTTAACTACATACAACAAGACACGTACAGTGATGATGAAAATACATTTGTTCAAACATCATCTATCTTGATTTTCCCCCCTCTGCCTCTGTATAATCCATTTCAAATTCTACCAGTGCATATAAATTATTTTTTAGTTTTCTTTGTTTCAACAATAGAAAGAGGAAGTCTTAACGTTACGCGTACAACCTTATTTATTAGTAGTTTTTACACTTATAAAAATGCATCCACTGTTAATGAATCCCTACTCACTGCCTTTTTGGGGTGAGGGTGTTGTTTACGAAATAGAGGGGACGAAAAGTAAACGTTCGGCGCTTTAACCAGGTTGGTAGACATGGAGAATCCACCTAGAGGAGTTGGAAAACCGTAATTCCAAGCCAATGATGCACATGAGCTCCAGGATCCTGATAGAAGAAATGGCGTATGAACCTACTATTGGTCACCGGCTACCATAAAACTGTAGTCACTCAGTCAGTCATCTACAACACAGGACCAAGCACATATATGCATCGGTCCAAGTTGCCATACCTCATTAGCACAGCAAGATGAACACCGGATTCATAGAAGTAGTTAATTCAATGGTGTTAATATATAAAAGAAAGATTGCATATAAGGATATAGTAGAGGAAGAAAGAATTAGTTCGTAGAAAGAAAGATATGAAGCGATTTTAATCTCGTTATTTGAGAGAAGACAGAGAGTGTATACACCTACGCCATTGTGATCGATGAGACATGTCACCCACAGTCTCCAACCATTGGTTACGATAGTGACGAAATCTCAGCACGGATACAGAAGGCTCGACTAGCTTTTGCCAACTTGCGTCATTTATGGCGTAGGCGAGATATCCGTCTATCAACCAAAGGACGTGTTTACTGCGCAGCAGTTCGTTCCGTCCTACTTTATGGCAGTGAAACATGGCCGGTAAGAGTAGAGGATATCCGTAGGTTACTAGTATTTGATCATAGGTGTCTTCGAAACATTGCTCATATATCATGGGACCATCGAGTAAGTAACACAGTTGTTAGGAAACGGGTACTAGGTAAGGATGGCAAATCAATTGATGAAGTAGTGAAACTTCATCAGTTGAGATGGCTGGGACACGTGTTACGTATGCCCAACCACCGACTGCCTCGACGTGCTATGTTCAGTGGTATAGGAGTAGGTTGGAAGAAAGCTAGGGGCGGCCAAACCAAAACATGGCACAAGTCCATGAAGTCACTGACAAGTGAACTGAGTCATGTTGGTAAGTGTAGACTACCTGGTTGGGGACCGCGAGATGACAGCAACCGATGGTTAGAGACCCTGAATGATATGGCTCAAAAATCGTTTGCAATGGCGCAGGCGCATCCACTCTCTGTGTTCTCCCAAATTCTAATCTTCTGAATTCTTCATGTCCCTTTTTTCCTCTTTCCAAATTTCTTTCACTGTATTATACTTTTTAAATAACATCTCCAAACCCTAATCTTCCCGATTACTGCTTATACTCTTATTACCTCTACCACTACGGGATTTGAATCGACAATTGTATCTCTGTGCTAATGTGGTGTGGCAACTCGAACTGATGTACGTACGTACGAAGTTCTACGTTGTTACTGACTGACTGAGTCGCACGGACCCCAACCAAGTAGTCTCCATCTACCAAAATGGTTCAGACCAGAAGTTAGTGACTTCAATGACTGATACCACGTTTTCGTTCGGCCGCCCCTAACTTACTTCCAACCGTCACCAACACTGGTCTGCATTGTGCGCCGTGATGATCGGTGTTCAGGCATACGTAACACGTTGCCCAACCATCTCAGTCAATGAAGATTCACAACCTCATCAACTGATTTACCATCATTCCCTAATACCCTGTATCTAATACTAGTAACTTACGAATATCTTTTACTCTTATTGGCCGTTTCGCTGCCGTAATTTAGAACAGAATGAAAATAGAACTGTATCTTTTAACGTTGCTTCACTGCCTTGTGGATCAGGCTCAATGTATGGCCCCTAAGGAAACTACCTGCATCAGTTTTTGTGCCCGAATAGTATCTTATCTCTCACACAACATACCTTTCTGTACAGGAGCAGATGAATTCGTAGAAACACATGGATGTGACAAAACTAGGTATCTTATCTTTTTGTTGAGGAATCACCATAGGTCGGCCGGAGCACGGTAGACAGAATTTAGCTGTATCAAACGTTTTATTTGTTGCTCTAAATAGTCTATCTCGTAGCACATCTCCATCTATGTCTCCATCAAGTCATAGCTTCAGGAAGAGAGGTTTCTTACTAACTGTTAACGTCACTATCTTCCTGTTGATTATATGCAAGTGTTTCTTCAGAAAACCTTGTGGATAATTCATTTCAACTAACATATAAATAAACTCTAGTTCATTTTGTGGTGTCGTTTGACTATAACTTTTTAGCTCTATTTCCAAAACGTCTAACTGGGTTTCTCTCATAACGAAGTGTGTGTATTAGTTTGTGTTCATATTCTGTATATAAGCATTTTATATTATTACACAAAACATCTATTCGCTTGATTACTGTTCTTACCTTTGATTTCTAATCATTCAAAGGCTTAAATCAATAATACGGCCGCATGAGTATCCATCACTCGACCGCATCTTATCAATGCGTTCATCTACCGATTGAAATTCTATTTATCAGTTCAAACAATCGAACATTTTGTCTCATCAAATCATCAAAAATCTCCACCTCCTCCCTCAACATGGTGATAATTCTCAACTAAAGTTCACTACTTAGATATTACAGCTTCTTTATCCCCAGCTATTTGAATAATAATTTTGCAGCAATGGTTTATTGTTAAAAAAACATTATTAGTCATTTAAATACATTCACTCATATACTGATTCAGTTTCATTGATTATGAGTTAAAGAATTTGTCATACTGAAAAAAATTCAATCAAAATGATACAAACGCATATTGAAGTGAAGATATGAGAAATCACATTTTTTTATTGATACTCAGTCAATATAACTTTATGTTTTTCGTTTTTCTTCATATCTGTCAAGCGGACAGTTATCTTTACTAATCCTGACTCGTAAATTCTTTTCATCCTTCTATTCTTCTGTAACCCCTTGATTATTACGTAACCTCATTTGATACAAAGGTATGTTATAGTGAGCGAAAGCCACATTAAATCAATACATAATCTCACACAATGTTTATTCCTCCCTAATAATTTAATACTCGATAGCCGTGTCGTGAATTGACTGATTTCGGAAATAAAGTTTCGTATCGAACTTTGAACCAAACTAATTGTGATAATACTTACGGATTAGGGATCATTGTTGAATGGAACTCGTCATCATACATCAAAGTCCTTGACTATAAAAAACGTTTGACAGCGTAGGCAGGAGGACTTTATTAAATCCTCTCCGACACCATGGTGCACCTGAGAAGATCGACACCATCATGCGGAATTCTTACGATGGACTACACTGTAAAGTCATGCACTAAGGACAGATTGTAGATGCATTTCAATTGAGGATCAGTGTCAGACAAGGCTGTTAAAACTCGTATTTTCACTTCTGGTGGTTGACTGGATTATGAAGACCTCGACATCTAAGGTGAAGCATGGAATACAATGTACAACTTGGATGCAACTAGACGATTTGAACTTCACTGATGACCTAGCTCCTCTATCTCATACACAGCAACAAAAGCATGTGAACACATCGAGTGTAGCAGCAACCTATTCAGCAGTAGGTCTTAACATTCACAAGGGAAAAGCAGGATGATGAAATACAACACAATGAGCACCAACGAAAGCACAATTGATGGAAAAGCTGTAGAAGTGTAAACTTCCGAGTACCTTGTCAGCATCATCGATAAACAAGAGGATCTGATGCAGTTTTGAATTCAAGTACCGGAGAGTGGAGGACAAAGTACGTTGGAGAAGCCTGGTCGGCGGCTTTTGTTACTCAACGTGGGTTAATAGGCGTATATAAAAGTGAAGTGAATTATAGTACTTAAAATGGAGTTTAAACCCGTTACGTAGTGTTGAATCTAGAGTAACGTATCCTCTAGAGTATTAGTGTAGAAAAGCATTTGCCAGTTTTGTCTGTACGTGGACGCTATAAAAAAATACACTTCCTTTTACTGTGTGTTTGTATTCAGTTGAAAATCTTTACAGTAAATATGAAAACCTAAAATTGTGATAACTGACTTTTTGGAAAGTTTTTCTCACGTTCAAACTCGTCATCGGTTTTTTATATCTTTTTGTTATTAATAGAATAATATCACACCATTACATGTGGCTGCTAAATGGGGTCGTGGTGGAATGGTCCAACTACTTTTGAATTCGAATGCCTTAGTTGATTGTCGTACACGTGATGGTTTAACACCATTACATTGTGCAGCTAGATCTGGTCATGCAGAATTAGCTTCACTGTTGATGGGTGCTGGTGCAAATCCTTCAGCTAAAACAAGGGTATGTTATCATTACCTTTATAAACATTTGGTGTGAAACAAGTCGTCGTCGAACTATTTATGTCGGTCATCTGAGTTCGCCCTTACTGGTGACAGAAACATGGAATCACACAACCATTTTATTTCGGCCTATCCGTAATGTATATTAAGTATTAATTCTACTGAAGAGTTGGTGATTCGACTCAGTCTACGTTATTTTATTGGTCATTGCTGTGACATGATCAATTGATTCAGAAAATAATTTACTTATAACGTTGTCTGAAAGGGCCACTTCTAATCTCCAATGTCTTCAATCACTGCATTACGCTGAAGAATAGAAAAAAGAAAATACTGATTGATGATGACTCAATCGCTAGAGTCTGTAAAACGAAAATACTTTTTTACTTGTGTTATGTTACTCGATAGGCATTCTATCAAATTAAATCTTATTTACTGTGAATTATTACATCTGTAGAAACTGTGGTGTGATTAAAAACTATGGATGACCTTAGGGCGGCGCCAAAGTAATCTTGAGAATGTCCATCTATTCTATTTTATCAACGCGTTAAACTTGATTTTTCTCCGTCAGTCTTCGTGAATATATATTGGCTTTTATTTGGAGTAGTTATCTTGAATTGTTTCAGTTTTTACTTCGTAACCTTGAAAAAAAGTTCAGCTAGTGATTTTTGCAGTTATGTTTTCAGATCAAATCGACTTCCCAATGACTATATAAGTGAATTTTACGTATTATCTACAATTTTCATATTAATCTATGGCTGTCACTGAATCTAACAAAGTCAGTTTGACAGTGTTACATAATTTTCTTAGGTATTGATCATACAATAAACAATTTCCATGAAATTATCAGATCAAATCTCTCGACTTACTTTGTTTTAAATCACTTGGGTTGTTTATTTATCTGTGTAATCATTCCATTAATATTATTTCATCTATACTAGAATGGATTAACTCCATTGCATATGGCAGCACAAGGTAATAATGAAGAAGTTGCTCGTGTATTGATTCTGCGTGGTGCTAGTGTAGCTGACAGAACAGGAGTAAGTTATTGTTGTTGTTACTGTGTTTGTTATTCTCCTATATAGTTAAAATGTTTATGTCATTAATAACAAGAATGTTAATTATATTTATTGTTCAACATGTCTTTACAAACTATCTATTATGTAAGGCAAGATAGAAATTTCCATTGCAAACTGCAAATGAACGCCAAAAAGAAATATTCTGAAGTGATTTTACCAAGTTATCAATTAAGTGTTTTTGTTAGATTTTTGACTTCATTGAAATGTCAATGCATTATTTTTGTCTCACACTTTTTTAAATATATCTTTCTGATGCAATGAATTTGAACATTTTTTGTGTATGGGGATATTTAAAAAAGTTATCGTTTCACGTTCAATCGATTTCTTTCTTTGGATTGGTAATAGGTCAGAGAGCAATTAGTGATTATGTCGTGATGTTTATTTAAAAATGTGTTTTTTTAAAGCTCATCTGACAAATGTGGTTCCGTGCACTTGATTTCTAGATACACTTTATTTGTGAAGGCTAGTGATACAACCCGATCGCCCAAATTGAAGTGAATGGGACCCACTTCGAACATATAACCAAATAGCTGACGGTTAAACGCCTTAACTACTAAGTCATCAGACTATTATTTTTCAAAAACGACACATATGCTTGTTTTACTCCACACAAGTGTTTTTTTCAAAGAATGTAGTGTCCGCTGCTGTGCTAAACCCAAACAGCTTATTCTAGCTTCCGGACAAGCCAATTTATTCATTCTTCTTGAGTCACATTTTGAACTTGTTAATTATCTACCTGTAAACCTAAACTGTCTCTACATAAGTATATGTATCTTACTCATTGCATGTATTTAACTTATTTTTTTGTGGCTATAAATATCGATTCACGCTTGGTTGGCTCACATGCCATCTCCACCTGCGTGTCATTCCTCTTCGTCTTCTTCACTTCGCTTTCTGTGCTTCGATTTTTCCCTCGTTTGTCTGGATTAACGATTGTATGAAATACACTTATTCAAAACTCATTCTCGTACTTGACTTATTAAATTTCATTATATACTAACGCGAGTTAAGTCGATGATTATATATGAGAATAGTCAGGATGTATATATCGATATCGCTTATTTGATAGCAATCTGAAACGATCCAAATGGAGTCATATATATGGCTGCTAAAGTGGTGATCCCGTTGACAACATCGCCCCATCTAATTGGTGTCAAAATAACAGGTCATTAAAAGGATGTGCCTATGAAGTTTTGGTAATGTTTTATTGATCACCTTTGTACGCACGATAACTTAATGCCAGTTTTATTGTTGCCAAAATGTAAATGTTAATTTTGAGTGATTCCTATGTAACTTTTCAGTGAGTCTTTAATGAAGACGTAGTGGAAGGAGTAAATTTTGTTGCTTCGGTATTGTTTAAAAAAAAATATTATTTATATTGTCAACTAAATGACTGAATCTAGTCCATTATGACTAGTTTTCATATGAAATCAAACCAATTGGTTTGGGGGTGCTATACTTTTCAGACTTCACGGATTGACTATTTTTGGCATGGTCTTCACTAACTTTCTTACAACCTAGCCCAATATCAACAAACATTATTTATTAATGTAGGGAGTGGATTAGTATACACAACGCATGTCTTAACTGCATCGGTTTATGAAGTTACACAACTTCATCAACTGGTTCGCCAGTTTACTCCACATTGATTGTCTATTTGGGACTGCTGCTTGACGATTTTCCTCACTATCACTGCATCATTTTGATTTCTTGTAAAATGAATAAATGCTGAATTTATTTCATACTTAACATCACAACCCCACAGACTATTAAACTCAAGATCCTTAGACTTCTCAATGAGTGCTTGACCATTAAACAGACATCCAGTCGTTTGGATGTTTAGCTTCAACTCATGATAGTACACAACTCTCAACGTCATAAGTCACGACTGTGGAATACAGTATGACTTTTGTAGCTTGATTGATATGCTTCCAACGGTTATGTATTGTGTTAGCTAAATGGTTCATTCGCTGAGTTTTTCATTTTCATTTTGAGCTACATCATCAGCGCATAATTCAGATCACTAAAGCTGGTGAAATATTTATTTTTTCCTTCAAAATTTTGTAATTTCTCTTTTGCAATGAATGAATTCGATGGTAAATATTTAAGGAAATTCGAATTAGTCAGTTACATACAACATAAACCCCGCTACATATTATCCATCCGTTTAAGTTATTTACACCATATCAACACAGTGAGATGAAATTATTAAAACAAATCTAGCATCTCCCCATCAGTGATCTCAGAATACTGCAGCGATGCTCGAGGACATCTTTGGTCGAATACTGGTAGGACATGAATATTATCTACTCTTGATGACCGTGTTTCACCCCCATAAATTAGAATGGAGCGAACTGCTGTGGAATAAACTCGTCCTTCGGTTAGCAGAAGTACATCTGCCCCACGCCACTGATGATGCAAGTTGGCGATGGGCAACTTAGCTTTATGAACCCGTGTTGAGATTTCACCAGACATCAACCTATCAATGCTAATGAGGCTTCCAAAACAAATGAAGTGGTCGACCCATTCAGTTGGTTCACTGTCTATAATTAATTCACGTGTTGACTCAGGCCAATCCGAAAGCAGCATTTTGCATTTAAATGGAAAGAGTATCATCCCAAACATCTTAGATCGGGACTTAGGTCCGTTGAACTCTTTGGTGCCTTCACAAAACAGGAATATGTCATATATGTATTCTAATTCAGTAAGTGAATCTTCTAGTAGGAAATCAGCCCTTGCAAAGGTAAACGAAAAAATCGTTAATTCCAAAGGAGTGTCTATGGGGAAGATTAGTAAAAATGAAGTAAAACGGACATCCTTGATTAATACCACTTGAGGTTGACAGTTTCGATGACCGTTCACTATAAGCTCTTACTTTTTCAGTTGTGTTGGAGTAGAGAACTTAAACAAGGTTGATATATTTCCTTGGTACGACACTGTCACAGATCCTTTTGATTAACAGAGTCGAACCCTGTTTTAACGTCAGACAGTTCACCCATAGTCGAGCATCCGTAAGTATGCAGATGTTTTAAAACCTGAAGAAAACTAAATATTTGGTCTATATATCTGTGTCCAGGCAGGAAATCAGCCTATTTTTCTGGTGTTCGCTGTTTACGAGCCTTAGCTGAGTGTCGGATGATTATTGAACCTAATATTTTACATACTGTGTTAGTAAAACTAATTTTTGTGGTTGACACGAGTGGATTCTTATCCTTAATGTTAAACTGGGAGAATCAGTGATTAAGACCAGTCAAATGGGATTAGGTCTTTCCCACAATTTAGTTATGATCTAAGCCAATTCAAAACGTAAGACTCGATCACTATCCTTAAGAATCCCATTTGTTAATGCATCAGGGCCCTCTTTTCACTTTCGTCGTAGATCTGACAGGACCTTTAAATTTATGTAGGTTTAAGGGGTTCATCTAGATCTTCCTTTCTGTTTATTTTGAAATAGTGGCTAAATAAAAGATAGATGGAAGCCTGTAGAACTGTTGCTTAAAATGCTTTGCTGATTAATCATCTTAAATTCTATGATAAATTACATCTATTTCTAGCACTTTCGTATTTTATTTGAATCCTGAACGATAAAACAAGCATAATTTTCATAATTTAGTAATTCACTTATTCACATCACTATTTTAAATTTCAAAGGACGAGTATACTGCGTAGCGGTTCCTTCTGTGAAACATGGCCAGAAAGGGTAAAGGATACCCTTAAGTTACTAGTACTTGATTACAGATGTCTTAGAAATATTGCTGAAATCTCCTGGGATCACCGGGTAAGTAATAGTGAGGCTAGACACAGGGTATTAGGGAATGATGGTAAATCAGTTGATGAGGTTGTGAATCTTCATTGACTGAGATGGTTGGGCAACGTGTTACGTATGCCTGAACACCGATCATCACGGCGCACAATGCAGACCAGTGTTGGTGACGGTTGGAAGTAAGTTAGGGGCGGCCGAACGAAAACGTGGTATCAGTCATTGAAGTCACTAACTTCTGGTCTGAACCATTTTGGTAGATGGAGACTACTTGGTTGGGGTCCGTGCGACTATCGTAACCAATGGTTGGAGACTGTGGGTGACATGTCTCATCGATCACAATGGCGTAGGTGTATACACTCTCTGTCTTCTCTCAAATAACGAGATTAAAATCGCTTCATATCTTTCTTTCTACGAACTAATTCTTTCTTCCTCTACTATATCCTTATATGCAATCTTTCTTTTATATATTAACACCATTGAATTAACTACTTCTATGAATCCGGTGTTCATCTTGCTGTGCTAATGAGGTATGGCAACTTGGACCGATGCATATATGTGCTTGGTCCTGTGTTGTAGATGACTGACGAAGTCGATTAGTAATAATAGTCTGACTAATCATGAGAAATACTTATACATGTTTATCTATGTATATACTATTAGTTTTTTAGTTAGAATTTTAATAGTACCCACTTCTTTACAGCGTATTAAAAATAAAAAAACACGTTAATTAAATACACTTTGTGTATGTTGCATATTCTACGTTGATAATGTTTGTATTTTTTTTTAAAAAAAGGGTAATTTATTTACCAAAATTACTTGTAATTAATGACTTCCATAATGATGACTGTCAATTTGTAATTAAATTTTAATTTATAGTTTGTTACGCTTTAAAAAAATACATTACTAAATAATTTGTTCAGTCTTTTAGATGAACATTTAACGATTTGACAATGTTTATCAGGAATTAGAATAATTGAACCAGTTTTTTTTGTTTATTTGTAGATGTTTTGATCAAATTCTAAGATAGATAATTTTCAACTTCTTTTGATGCATCTGATTGAATTGAATGCTTACGTGTTTATTAAACTGTTTTGTTTATGGTCAGTTAATGAGGCTTTATGCGTAAATGGGAAATTCTTTTGAACTTACTGTTTAAATTCACCGCGAGTGATAGCCACGTTAGAATATGTAGTCCCATGACAGCGTGTAACCAACAATAGGTTCATATGCCATCTGTTCCTTCATGGGTGTGGAGCCCATGTGTATAATTGGTTTGTAATCATTATTTCCATCTTCCCTAAATAGGTTCCCCGTATTCACCAACCTGGTTAAAGCCCCGGTCATTCGCTTTTCGTCCTCTTAGTTTTGTGAACAACACCTTCGACACGAGAATGCAGTGAGCAGGGCTTCCTTGAGTGCGGTTGTGTACGCGTGAACATAGAGAGTATTTCGGGTCGGAGAGTGAACTCTCTTCAACCTCGGTCATTCCGGGGCATTTGGAGACTGCATATTTTATCTCAAATAATAAGTGCCGACATGTATAATATTTGAGTGTTTTTTCCAGATCAAGTCAAGTAGCTGTAATTTCTTAGTAGAGAGATTATATAGCAACATTTACTTTAACGAAAGGTGACTTACGAATACCATGACCCAGTTGTTGAATAAATTTACATAATAGATATATAGATTTTTTTCTACCAAAAATAGTTCTCTGTTTAATTTTTGCTTCTCTCCGACATAAATTTTTGTCAATACCTACCATGATCTTAACTACAAGTTAAGAACAAACATGTATATTATATCAATCAATACATGAGTCCAGAGATTTTTAAATTTAAGTATATTAGTGTAAAACACACTGAACTGTGTAAATCATCAATTTGGTTTTTAATAAAACTTTTTCTGTTTATTTTCACCTCATGATTTTTCTTTTAGGATTCTTTGACCCCACTACATGTGGCTGCTCATTGTGGTAATACAGAAGTGGCACGTGTACTCTTAGACAATGGATGTGATGTGAATGCACGTGCTTTGGTAGGCTTTTCATTTTATGTAACACTGGTTTACTACAATTTACTTTCACGCATACTTTTTTCTAGAATGTAATTGGTAGATACGTTTAGTTTTCTTTTGTATATTTTCACTTTCTCTAAATTATGAACAGTAATAAACACTTCGGATCTGTAACCTTATATTATGATCAAGAATTAAACCCGACATATGAATTTATTGCTGTGTGAGTAGTGAATTAGCTGACATTCTTCAATCTTTTATGATATTTGACAATCTTGTTTATTCCTATGTGTAACTCTTTGTATATCAGGATACTATTCTATTTGAATAAAAAACTCCTCTGGCAAATGATCTGGTTTTAGTTACCAGTTCATTTGTACTGTTAAGTCAGTAATCCGGTTTATCGTATCACTGCATTTATCTTTCGTCTAAGATTCTATTTATTTATTTTAGTAATTAACAACAGTAGTCTTTAATTCTAAACTAAATTATAGCTAATGGTAAAAATTTGAGACCTGTTTCATTCTACTCTATTTACGGTATCCTTAATGGTGATGTTTACATCGGCCCTTGAAATCACAGTACGTAAATATCGCTTAAAGCATCAATCAGTTAACCAGTAGTCTATTAGAAATTTCAAATAACTACTAATATTAGTTGAAGAAAGTTTACTCACAAAATAACTGTTCAGTGACCAAGCTCCTTTTTACGTAAAATATTCTGTTGTCTTTGTTTTAAGGTTATTGATTTCATCAAATTTATAGTTTAAGAAGATAAAACATTGAATCAGATTCTAGTTCGTGTGTTCGATTCTCACATGTGGGGTCGTAGATGCATACTATGAGGAAACCCATGCTATGGCGAGGCAGCCGTCCAATGCTTCTAGGTTTTCAATGGTAGTTTAGCTTAGATCGACTCATGAATTAAACTGTAAAATTACTACAATCTTCACAAATCCCCATACTGATCATATTTGTTTGTTTATCACTTTGTACGGGTCTAATTTTCATATCATGTTTACAAGCTTTATATGTATACTTACTTTTTACTTCTATTAAATTGATTTTATTTATTCATTTGTATATATTTCGTATATACAGAATGGTTTTACTCCATTGCATATTGCTTGTAAGAAACAAAAAATTCGAGTTATTGAACTACTTCTTCAGTATGGTGCACAAATCAATATGACTACTGAAGTAAGTTCTGTTCCATTATCATCATATATTGGATTAATACAGTTTCATACTTTCGGAGTACAGCTGTGTGCCTATCATAGCGCGAAAATCATTTTACTTTGAAAAATTATTCGAATCGCGCGTCCAGAGTCATGGATGTGCACTGCCGAGGTGTCCCATACTAGGACGAAACGGTCGTTCACTGCTTCTAGGTTTCCAATGATGGTTTAGCTTATATCGACCCATTAATTCACTATCAAAAATTACTACAACCACAACTCCTTAATCTGCTTAGAAAGGTATATGTGCATACTGCGCGTATTGCCTCGATATTGTCTTAATTCACAATTAATATAAGCAAAGATGGACACTTGCTAGCAGTGGAATCCAAGATGCGGGTTTCGTCATATTTGGGACTCGTCAGCCAGATGCATCTGCTTCTCAAAGTTGATGTTCACTCCGAGACTCTAATTTAGTTCCGTTTGCTTCAAATGCCATCACACTATCCACTTAGCTACGGAGTCCTGATAACCACTTGCTTGTTCTTAAACGGGATTTAGACTCAGTGAAAACATTTTAGGAAATCATATATACTCAGCTGTTGCATTGTGTATTTTAGCATTACATCATTGGTACTTCTGATTGTTTCAGACATCACTACTAAAGTGTTAAAAAATTTATTTTTTGTAACCTCATTTATTAATCTATTTCGTGCAGGTTACTTGAAATCGGACCAGCTGGTATACGATTCGCTTCACCTATTCTCTTTGAAATACCACATTATGCTTTTTTAAATGGGAAAAATCGTGAGATTGTTATCCTCCGTTCAGATAATGGTGAAACATGGAAAGAGCATCCATTGGATGCTACAGACCAAGCTGTTCAAGACACTTTGAATGGACATTTTGGTAAACTCTTTCGTTAGGTTGTTTTTTTGTTCAAAAATTCGTTACATGTAATTGGTACAGCAAATCAATTCTGAAACCATTAAATCTATATCTACTAAAGTGACTATGGCACATTTTATACTTGCCTATTGTATCAATCATGTTTAAGTATTAACTGAATCGGAACATGATCTCAGTCTTATAACCTTCATTCCTCTTTATATATCCACTTAGTTGGGTCACAAAATTATGAAGGTCACGAATTACTGGTTCGTTTATACCTTTATGACCTAAAATATGAATCTTTGATCCTACTGGTTTAAACACCGCTTTCTCTGTCTCCCCAATCGTTAATCAGAAGTTAAATACAACAAACCTTTTTTTATTATTAATGTATTACTATGCACAACTTAAAGCCAACTAGATTACGTGCATTAATTGAGTCATCTCAGTTAAGAAATCAGAACTTGTACTTAACCAAGTCATAAGTAAAACACAGTATAACAGTAAGTGAATAATATTTCTCAAATATACTTTCTGATTCAACAGTTAGACTATGTACGTGATATCCTTAACTGTTTCAAACTCTCATACTACATATCAATTAGAGTTAATGTTGCAGCAGAAAATTCGTTATTATACTTCAAACGTGTTAGCTCAATTCAGTTGTACTTTCCTTCAAGTATTGTAATATGTTTTATTCATTACACTCATTTGTTTATCTTGTCTAATCTTATCGTTTCATTGTAATTTAGTCGACGTTACTTTGTATCACGGTCTTACTTTTCTTTTTTTCAAGTGACATCATGATCCCATTAATACACTAACACTTCATATTTTACTTGGTTAAAACTAATCCGAACTTTTCTCCACATTTTATTTATGATACAATTAAATTTGATTTTAGATTACGCTGGATCATTTGAAGAATTACGTGCTAAGTCAATACATCGTATTTTAACATATGATCTACCACAATATTTTGCACTTATTACACGTATCAAGCAAGAATTAATTTTAATTGGTCCAGAAGGTGGTACATTAACATCTACAGTTGTACCAGACGTACATGTTCGTTTTCCTCAAGGTGCTTTACAAAAACGTATACGTGTTGGTTTACAAGTACATCCAGTTGATCATGAACTTGTAACAAGAATGCTTGGTCCACGTGTCTCTGTATCACCGATTGTAACAATTGAACCACGCAGACGTAAATTTCATAAACCAATTACCTTGACTATACCATTACCAAAAACAGCTATGTCATCCTCTAGCGGTGTTGCCGACACTAAATCTCGTTCAACTATCGATTCACCTAGTCTTCGATTACTGTGCTCGATTACGGGTGGAACATCACCTGCTGTTTGGGAAGATATTACTGGCAGTTCTCCGTTATCTGCACACGATCTTTCTGTTTCATTTACATCTACAGTATCTGCAAGGTAACTGACTTAATTTAATAAATTAATGGATATGTACATAAATTCATCTACTCAATACATTATTGAATATTATACAATATATAACCTTGCCTCATTGGTTTCCCAAATATGCGTAATCCAATATAACAGTGCATATTATCATGATTTTGTACTGTCCAGTAAAAGTTGTAAACTAATTGTCTAGGTTTTTCTGCCACATTCCATTTTGAGATGTGGTGACTTGATAGTTTGAGCACGTGTGTTTCCAATCACATTCGGTATATTCAACCTTACGACCAAGATTATTACAACTAACATTCAAAATATGTACACATTATTTAAACCATGGAGGTAAGTTTTATTATTAATAATAGTGGTAGTGTAGTGAACGAAGACTTGGTGGAGACTACCCATTTATTATTTGGTACAAAATTACAGAGTTCTTTCTCCTATCAGTTGTCTCAAACTCCATCGTTCCTTCATTGCTATTGCAATTACTCTCTGTTTACATTCCCGTCCCCTTCAATTTGATCTTCTCATCCATCTGCTACCAGGCATCCCACTTCTGATTGGTGTTACATACTACTTATGCTTGTCGACATAAATAGCATACACCGCATTAGTAGTATAGCCAATCATCTTGGAATTAGCAAGATTACAATTTTTGAAATTTTCCTTTTTGATCTCGTTCGAGTACTCATGGTAGTGTTGCTAGCTTCGGTCAACTGACATATATGGCTTTTAACAACTCATGTGTATTCACCGTCTTGATAACTTTTTTCAGGGAACAATTGATTGATCATCACTACATTCCTAATCGATTTCTAAAATACATTAATTAGAGTTTACAAGCCTACTTTGTCATCCGTAACTATAATTATTAACATATTTTCTTCAAAGATGGATTTTTATGATTTATTCATCTTGTGTTACTGGAAGCATTGTGTGATCTCATCTACTAAATGTTTCTTTTTTTTAAAAAAAAATATAGATTGTGGCTCGTAGATTGTCCTAATATTACTGAAGTTGTTGAATTAGCCAGTCGTGTTTATCATGAATCATTGGCAGTGCCTTATATTGGGCAGTTTATAGTGTATGCTCGTAGATTTCATCCTGAAGAAGCTCAATTACGTTGTCTTTGCCTTACTGATGATTCGGCAGAGAAAACACTTGAACTACAAGAAGGATTTCAACTAATAGCCACTGGACCATGTATTGAGGTAAATGACTGAATGAATTTTGATATCTAAATAAACTTTTGTTGTGTATTTGAATGTTTTGACTTCTTATTAGTTGATTAATTGTTTGGTTATTATTGCTGCTTTTCTTTTTTTGACATTGTTCTTTATAATAGGTTCTTGATGATCATCCACATTGGATTGAAACAGCTGGTAACTTAGTACCTGTTGCTAAAACTGAAGAACAATTACAATTAGGAATGCATGCGTTCCGTGAGAATCGTTTGAATATGATTGTACGTGTGAAAGATTTATCACAGCCGGCTGTTGGAAAATTAGCGTTTATGCGTCATCCTCGAGCTGTACTACAATCTGCTGGGTAAATGAATTGTTGTTTACTTTCGTTTATTGCACAAATTAGTATTTCTCACTGGAAATCGCCATGTTTTTAACTCGTCATTTTATTGCTTTGCAAATTAAACAGTTTTATAGTTTCGTGCATTAATATATAACTTATCCTCTTCAATTCATTGACATAAGTAAAACAGATTTATCATGTGCTCCATGGTTGATTAATTAGTTAGTAATGAATACTGTAAGCAAGATTTAAATGAAATTTAGACCTTCCATAAATTTAGAAATTTCTGTGTTGTATTCATACATTCTCATATATTTTCCAGTAATATGACATATCATAAAAGATGATAGCTACGCTCAGAGATGAACTAATCAAAACTTGTTGTTCACTGATTCCTGTGAAAATTATTTTATTTTTATCTATTTTTGCTACTACAAATAACACACGATGAGTCATGGCGATGGAAATTGGGTTTTAGAGATTATAAATAGCAACAGACCTTAACTTCATTCTGAACTGTTACATAAGTATTATTGATATCAGGTTACCACTACCAAATTATTTCTATGAATGTAGTTTTCATAACCAGATATGTTTTTTGGATAGTGATGATAGCACACCTAAAAATATTTGTTAATTTTAAGTTAATAAAAATAAAGAATTCAGCGAAGAAATTTTTTTTCGACTGAATCACTTGCTCAAGCTGTACATTCGTATTTGTACTTGTATGGGAAATATCTGTTTATAGAAGGACAGAAAAGATTGCATCATGACGTAGTTCTAGACTTCATATATCAGACGAGATCGCGTAATAATCAGAGGGTTTTAGAAATATGAAAATAATTTAAGGGTCTAAATTATGAAAGATAATTGTGGCCGCCTAAGAAACTCACCTGTTTCGGTTTGGATACCCTGAAAGTATTCCATCCCTTACACAAACCAAATGATTTGTGCCGTGCATATATTATTTCGTGTCTCCTTGTACCAATGTTTATGTGTTTAAATAAATAAATAACCCACTCAGCTACTGAGGAGTTAACGCTAGTTCTATATTCCTTTGTTAGCCACCATCCATCTTTGCTCATAGTCATGAATAATTGTTGAAGGATAACAATAATCGATTACGGTTTGAAATTATAAGACATTAATTAATTAATTAATGAAGAAACAAGACCAAGACATACTGCAGAACGAAATTAGAGCCAAGGAAGGATGATAGGTTGAACGTATCGCTTTTGCACGCTAAATTTCTGGCTTGAATTGGTAGATCGCCAACACCTCATCAGTTCTCACGTTTTTGATTCGAACTCCGTTCTATCCAGTTCCTTTGATTGGTAGACTATTTTATATTACAAAATATAAAATAATTCACTTGTGAATTTTCAGAGAATCATCTTGACTATTTTTTTAAAAAAGGATTTTCCAGTCGTACCACATTCTCATTGTTTATTATTTGTCATTATCATTTCTGCTACTATTATTTTGACCTCTTTTGCTATTTTATCTTGTTAATCTTATCTCGTGCTATTGTGATATGGAGACTTGGATCAACGCATATCTATGTCATTCTTTACGTTGTCTACGAGTAACTATGATTGAGCATAAGAATCGCTTTTTATCGTCGTATCTCTTCAAAATTAATATCATTTATGAACATATTTTCTTCTAGTTTATGTGTTTATTCTAACTAGTTGTGTCTAGTTTCGATGGGATTCATGTATTTTCCCCCTTTCTTTGTATGCATGTGCGTATGTGATTCGATGGCTTTATTTTGATTATATGAATACTTGATCAATGTCATTGTTTACCATAGAAATTTGGTTTGATTTTTTTCTATATATCAAGTTAACTGTAATTTCTTAACTTTATTCTTGTATATTTCTGATCAATTTTCTTTTTATTATCTACTAATTAAAATGTTTTAGGTTACAGTTTTCATAAATTTAAGTGTAATTTGAATAGAATGTGATAGTAGGTCATAAGTTCTGTATGACGTTTTGTTACAACGAGTAATAAATTTAGTCTCAGCACTAATATGGTAATTTCTGTGTCAACTTAATGTAATACACATATACTTGTAAGGTGATGTATCAGTAATCAAGAAGTTCGATTCTCAGCCACCAAGTATCGAGTTTGAGCTCCGCTCCACCTACTTTGGTTTAGACTTCTGAATGGTATCACTAACTCTTACACTTATAGTGAGGCTTTAAGCCGAGTACACGAGTCTACCTGATAAATTCATAAATGATAATTTGAAACTGTTTCGACGGTCGATTAATTTTATCGTTCATTTGTTCATAGTTTGTCCACACTTGTGTACTTATTCATACAAATGTTTTTTTTTCTGTTAATTTATTATTTTACACATCTGTATTTAAATTTGTTTTATTCATACACAGGTCATCTGTAAAACCGGCAACAGTTCTAGAGGCTAAATTGCCAGACGAATTTACTGATTACATGACTGATGGTGTATTAAAAACAACTGATATTGATGATATGCCACCTTATATTCCAGAATATAATCAAAATGGTGGTCAATACACCACATACAATGAATCGTTGCCGCAAACATGGTCAAAACAAGGTGAGTACTAATGTAAAGTGTTTTATTTCCTGGTCGTATTATCTTATTATTGTTTCAAGACTATCCTAGAAATAACATATTGGTGTTGAGTAATACGTTATTGATTGTATTTGATAAGTCGTGTAGGTTGAACGCTATATACGATTCCTAAGCTATTCCCGTAACCCGCAGACTAGAACTACACAGCGACCTGAACTCCAGAGAGAAGACACTAGTATGAGAGAAAACACTTTATCCCAAGGTTCATTTTAGTACAGAAAACCAAGGGTATTTATAGATGTTGGCGTCTGTTAAATCAACATCATATTTCAGCCAATCCGTTAACGTCATATTATGCTACCGATCAATGGTAGCACGCCACACTGGAATTCTCGAACGTTCCATTATACTCTGATTGGCTGGGGCCCTTCGGCTCCTTTTTGGGCCTCTGCAGGCTCCGTTGAAGTTCTCCGGAAGCCGACCTAACAGTATTATTACTACTATTATTTTGACATATTCGCTATATATCTCGTTAATTTAATTCATTGTACTGATTTGATACAACAGCTTGTGGCAATCTATATTTATGCTGTTGGATGAAAACTAATTTACCAACTCATCCGCGTTTCTGTAACAGTGTTCGGTTTAATTATCTTAAATTAGCGGGATTTATGTTTACTTCCATAATCATGGTTGATCAAATGTATTTGGTGTTTTTTAGCATATCAGAAAGTATAAAGAATTTTAAGCAATTCAAATTAAGATCTATTATATTTGTAACCAATTATTGTTATTTCTAGCTGTTATAAGTGATTTAACTGTCTATGAAATTAAAATTAGTACTTCTGGACAAAATAACATTGTAAATATGGTAAATAAATATCTGACAGTCACATTTCAAAGCTGCAGGGTATCCGCAATTGACTATTATAATCATTATTGGTTAATATTCACTGAGATTTACATTAAAAATGAACATAACAAATTAACAGTATATTATGTACTAAACTTTAAAGTTCTTGGAATATAATTCACTTTGTGCATTGCTTGGATTATTTTTTTATATTCCCAAACTTAATGAATTTTGATTCAGGCAATATCGAGGCATTCTACACAGGATGCATACATGTCAATATGAGACTGGTCAATCCCAGTCCTAAACATCGATGAGAAGATTCAAACAGCCAAAAAAACAGTATATTAAAGAGTAGTTTCGGACCACTCACTAAGATCTTTATTTATCTTAATTTAAAAGTTGAAAAATGAGTGAGTGAGTGAGTGAGTGAGTGAGTGAGTGAGTGAGTGAGTGAGTGAGTGAGTGAGTGAGTGAGTGAGTGAGTGAGTGAGTGAGTGAGTGAGTGAGTGAGTGAGTGAGTGAGTGAGTGAGTGAGTGAGTGAGTGAGTGAGTGAGTGAGTGAGTGAGTGAGTGAGTGAGTGAGTGAGTGAGTGAGTGAGTGAGTGAGTGAGTGAGTGAGTGAGTGAGTGAGTGAGTGAGTGAGTGAGTGAGTGAGTGAGTGAGTGAGTGAGTGGTATAAAATTAATTACAAATTACAGGATAGACCATTCTCATTTTCTACTACGCAAAGTGTGTAAGCTTATAGATGTTCTTAATAATAATGTAAATGTGTATATTATAGTAAATTTATTATGATTTATGGCGCCGCAGTCTAGTGTTAGAGCCACTTGGTTTCTGAATGCTCAGACTCTGCCCTACGCATTTCAGGATGAACAGTCGAGTGATATCAACCAAGTATTACACATTACAAGATTATAATTCAAAGCTATGTACACAAATTTGTATTCGTTTTACATTAAATCAGCTTTTACTCATCTCTTGCTTTAAATAAGTAGATCATTACGATGAGCCATTAGCTAAATCTGAGCTTGATTTACGACAAGTTGCTTATCATTTAAAATCAGATTGGAGAATATTAGCTCAATGTTTAGGCTTGTCTGATGAAGATCAGTATAATATTACTTCTTTGCCTAATCGTCCTGAAGAAGAATATGCATATACTAGTTTATTGTTGTGGCAAGAACGTAATGGGAATGAATTAACTTCGGGTAAGCAATTAAACAAAATATGTATTCTTTTTAATGATATACGTTAATATAAGTAGAACTGTATTTTAATGACTAACATACTTGACTTTCATCTAGAAAATCGCAAATTAAGAGCCCACTCTCCATGTGATTCACTTCGAGTCACTAGTTCCCATGGTTGGTTGAAGTATAACACAACTTATCGACAAAATACTTAACATAACAATAAACATGATTAAGGATCACTATCAAAGCATCACTAATGGTTGTAAGACATGTATTTCATAGACCATTTATCCATTGATGAAATTAAGATACCTAATTTATCATCAGGCTTAAATTATCGTCCATCATATCTCAAATCCAATATATATATATATATATATATATATATATATATATATATATATATAACATCAATTGGATTAACGTACATTCAATTATAAGAAATACAGAATAAGATGAAATGCACGCCCTGGATACCATTACTAATAACAATATAAAAATAGAATTGTTCTTACTTTCACAACAAAACTGTTATATGATGTAGCAGCTATTCAGTAATTTATTTCAAATAATATTCAGCTTATTTTGTGAATGTATGTAAAGTTAGAATCAACTGTTATCCGTTAAATGTTACTGTGATATATGAATGGGTTATTCGATATAGTAATTTAAATTTTCTGTTATTATCACCCAAATAACTAATTATCATGAGTAATTTCGAGACAAATTGCACACAGGTTTTGTGGAATGTGTGTTATGGCTTGTGTATTTAACCAGATCGATCGTGAATAAGCCTATTACCGAAGAGGTATTAAGAGCATCACGTTACATCGTGGTTTGACTCGGGTAGAAAGCGTGTCCCACTGGATTTAAAGTCAACAATAATATGGAAGCATTGCACTGATCGTAAGATCTTGAGGGTGTACATTAGATTCCATACGAGGATGTGAGTAGTCAATATTGATGATTATTGTTGACAAGTGTCACAAGTGTATGTCTAGCTTGAGTTGGATTTCATGTTTTCTGTTGAATTTATAAGCAAGTAATATTATTATTATTTAAACACATAAATATTGGATCAAGGAAGCACCAAATAGATATGCCCCACATAAATCATTCGATTTGTGTGAGGACTGGGATTCTGCCAGGGTTCCCAAATCGAAACAGGTGGCTTTCTTATCGGCCCATATCCCGAGCGTCTGACCTAAAAGTCTAATTCACAAGGCAGTGGAGAAACGTCAGGAGGTGCATTCCCATGGTAGCCGGTGACCAACAATAGGTTCATACACCATTGGTTCCTTCAGGATCCCGAAGCCCATGTGCACCATTGGTTTGAAATCAGGGTTTCCAACTCCCCTAGGTGGATCCTTTGTATCCACCAACCTGGTTAAGGTGCTAGATATTTGCTTTTTGTCCTCGCAATTTCGTAAACAACAGTAATGCCACGAGAAGGCAATGAATAGGACCTCCCTGGCAGTTTTTGTATGCACGTAGCCATGTGAGAGCATTTCGAGAGGAAGAGCTGATTCTCCCCACTCTCAATCGTATCAAGCCATTCGGGTTCTAACTTATATACATATCATTGTAAATAAATTTCTGCTATTTTATCTCTTCCTAGGTACGCAACTTGCCGAAGCACTACAAGCTATCGGTCGTAAAGATATATTGGAATATTGTATGACTAACATTTCGCCTGTAATAACAGCTGATGAACGGGTTACTGCTTTACGTTCATTGAATGGTAATTTGTTGCATTTTTAGGTTATTTTCTTTGACATATTTTAGTTGAGGCAAGAAATAATTTCAGTCCCTTGGTATATTTTTTATTATTTAAAATATTAACTGATTTAAACAGTTGTTGCAAAAACTAAAGACGAATTGTCGAAGCATTCAAGCAAAATTCTGTGATTTCAATCAACAGGTCGGTGTCCTAGATCAGATTATCTAAGAAGGCTTTTGTCTCATACGTGACAGTTGACGCGGAGTTATTGAAAGATGTTTGCTTTTTGATGGAGTTTTGTGGAGAAATTCGAACGTCTCACGTCTGTCTGAAGTGCGTGCTGATGATGTCGTTCAGAAGAACGGTGAAAGCTCCACGACGAACCATCCAGTTCAGAGATCATAGTCATCCACCCGAGCTACAAATCTTCTCCATCTCAAAGATGATTGCTATATAGACCCTTAGTTTACACCTATTCTTATCTCAAAGATTATCTACCTAAAGTGTGTTTGACAACAAAATAAATTGAAGAGCGATTTTATTTGGTGGAGTTTCATCCTGTGAACTGAATAGTTTTGTCGGCGAACGAAATCCTACTAAAAAAATCATCTATCTGGGTTATTAATCTTTACTTCTTTTTATAAGTTATAAGAGCAACTGCTTATTGTGAAATTTCATTCTTTAATAATAAAAAAATAAGGTAAATGGTTCAATCATACTGCAAATCATATATTTAGTTCAACAAGCACCCATATGAATAAATAAAAAAAATGTTTCATTTAGAACTAATAGTGACATGAATACTCCTTAATTTACATGTTTCAGACTAAAGGTTGTTTTCTTTGGGGGGTGTCACTTTTGATAATTAATATAAGTCAAGTCCAAGTATATTTTAAAAGTTTTGTCAGATATTTGTACGAACATTTGCAAAGTGCTCTGTTGCCATTGTTACATTCTTAGTGATTTGACGATATCAATAATTTTCTGTATTTTATATGAAAATATGCAGCTCATGTCAGACGGATAATGAATATAATTTGTATAGATTTTGCTGCGAAACAGTTCCTATTTACTGGAAAAATGTATCAACTTCTTAAAATAAAGAAACTGAGAAAATCGAGTCCAAATGACGTTGAATAAAAATTGAAATGATACTAATGAATTTCCTCATATAAATCTGAAGTGGATCAACTTGTATACGAGCATTACTAATTGTAAGGGATTGGATACACTATGGGTGACCGTGAAATGGGTCATGTTGTGTTCAGTTTAAAGGCGCGTCGGTATGTACTCTTCAGAAATTCTGAGTATTATTGATGAAACGAAATATAGTATCAGCTAGTAATGTCTATACATAGTTTTAGCTATTACAATTTGTTTTTTGTTGCTACTTTCGCTTTTATTTTGAATAGCCGTTTCGCCCAATTTAAATATTAATCGTGAAAATCGATCTCATTCAAAAGATGGCAGTGGTGGTTTAAGTGAATCAGTTGATACGGGTTATGGCACACAAACCGGATCTACCACACTAATACCAACAACACCAGTGATTACAAAGACAATTTCATCAACAATCCATACACTACCCACTTCAAGCAATGTAGATAATTCTAAACATTCTGAGCAAGAAGTGGAGCAAGAAATTATACAACCAGTTACTGTGACCACTGGTCGAATTTATTCAGGGTCACTACCATATGTGGGAAAATCTATTACTGATGTTCCCGAAGACAAATATGATGTATTAAAAGGAGTTGAAAATATTCTGGTTGATAGTCAACATTCATCGACCATAGAAGATGATAAAATAAATTCCACTTCTACTGGACGTGAGTTGTTGTTATTCATTACAGAGTATCTATATTTATTAGTGATAGAGTTTAGCTCATCGTTTCTCTTTTTCATTTGTAAATTATAATATAATTATTTTTTCGCCATGACTGGCTATTATCATTCGTGGAAATATTTCAACTAGGAAGCAGTCAATGATGTGCAAATAATGTGTTTAATGTATGTTTTTCATATTTTACTAAGCTACTGTGTGATTTTTTGTTAAAACAATAAATTGGTTTGTACCCACTAGACTGCTTCATTCACAACACCAGTAGTGATAAGAATAATAAAATATGAAAAGTTACGATCAATAGTTCAACTGAGGAAGTAGGTCAAATTCATATATCATGTACTACGAGTTATTGTTTCGATTTCGACTAATTTATTTACACCAGCCACTAATTCAATTTCTCACCTATTTAACAATAACTACTTTTTACATGAATGAACTGATTCTTCATTAATCAGTAATTGGCTTATTTTAATGTCCTTCAGTTTCTACACTTTAGATTTTATATTAAGCAATCGGAGATAGTCGACCGGAACTTCGAACTTATTATAGGGTATACGTATGATATGATTTGCAAAGTTGAAACGGTAAACATTTTTCCCAAGTCCAGCATTGATCATCGATATTCTCAAGATTTTACGTGTGCTTTACCAACAAATGCCAACTATCATGAAGGTACCGACTATCTTCAATCACTTAACATCAAAATATAGTGGATTTGATGTCAAGTTACTTAGATTGATGGACACTGCAATTTGATCGATGGGATCCAATCAACACTAAAGGACTGTATTGGCCACTACTCATTGATCGATCAATTGTAAATATATCGGTTTTAAAGGATTTGATTCCCTCAGGGTTACAAATACAGCTTTCTGATGATTGCCAACTCACACAAAACCTAAGTCCAGGTTTACCTGTCGATTACCTCTGACTACAACGTCTGAAGACAGTTATCATTGTTCATTGACTTTATCCAGTTCAAGAACAGTTGAAAATCAGGCAGCAGTGGATAAACTTTCCTTTCTGGTTTTAGATTAGAGATGAAAAATGTAGATTATTGAGTGTCAGCCCAATGATTTGAATACTTCTCCCAAGCTACGATAAAACACTTTGATACTGTTACTCAGTTTCAGCCGAAGGTACACAACATAATTACTTACAGTTAGATTGTTTGCAGCCCAAAAAAGGTTGTACAGTAAAAGTTTGTGATGATAATGGCAGTACATTTGAAAATAATTGAAATCTCAGTTTAATTCTAGATGAAAAATGATTGAAAACCGTAGATAAGAGAGTTCACTGGAGACAATTGTTCCGTTTATTTCTGTTGTTCACTTTTCTTATTAACGCGTCAAATGCTTTTAGCTTCTTCTTCCTTATCCGAATACACTTTATATTTCTAAAATTTTGTTTTATTTTCACTATAGCTCCAGTCAATGAAGAAATAGTCGTCCCTACTCAAATTAATCGCACTGTTCAATTAAATCGTACAGACGATACGACTAATAATAGTAATAATATTCATAAACAAATTGAAAAAGATAGTGATTTATCAAACATTTATCCAGATGGTAAGTAACCCTTTGAATAGATATAGGCACACCGGCATTGATGGATTATCACGTTCATCATTCATAATGATGTGAGGTCTGTAGTTATAATTGTTTTACATCTTTATGATTGAGTGTAGTCTTATCAATTGCTATTTTTGCCGTTTTGTTCTTTTTTTCTTTATTTATTGGTGTCCCATTAAGTCTAAGAGTTTTACTGTTAATTTGAAACGCGATAGTTTAATTTAATCGTTGCAAATTTCGACTTATAACTTACTATCCGACCGCGCTTTTAAACTCTAATCTATCTTTTTCGGTTTGAACATCTTAATGACCTTGACCCGTACAAAGCTTTTATATATACATTGAGATTACAGTTGTCAAATAAATGAATTACAATAATTTGTAGCTCATATTTTGATCAGCTAATAATGCGTCCATAAATAATGATAATATTTCAATTACGTCCGATAAAAACAGTTAATAATCTATTATAAAACTTTATGTGGTACTAAACAAATGTCTCTGTCAATAATTGTAACTCATTCACTAAGGAGATATTCATGTTTACTAGGCTTTGAACGATGTTTTGTGTGCATTTGTGTGTGAACTAGTGATGTTTCATGGCTGTTCAAATCCAAGTAGGTGGAGCAGTGTCTGGACGTTTTGTTGCTCTTTGAGCCATTAAGTCAACAATTTGTAAACATATTATCATAAACCTTTTTATTGATATGTACATGATCATTTTACACTTAATTATTCATTATTATTTGCTCACTACCAAACACAGATTCGTGTAATTGGCTTAAAGTCACGCTTTAAGCTTAAGAGCTAGAGTAAACCGAAATTCGAATCTGCGATTTAAGAATAGCCTAAAATCGAACATCTTCATCACTAAGCCACAGCTGTACTTTTATACATTCGATAGGTTAATTCTTCGATCAGCATTCAATGGATTAGACAAACATGACACTTGTCACTACTAATTGATCAGTCACTTTAAGCATTTCAATTCTGTACAGAAGGTGGTCAGTTATAACCCACATAGATCGTTGATAACACCTCTCTCTTTCTCTCTGATTGCGATAACTTAGTTTACGATACGCTTAACTGTATGTCTAAGTCAGCTTTTTATAGATAATTAACTCCAAACATGTCTAAGAGACTCTCTCTTCTATGTCACTATGTAAAATTTAAATTTTCGCACATACACACCCACATATGTTTCATATTTGTAGTAATGTTACATAACAACATTTACATCATTATATGAATACTACAAACACTCTCAATAGAAATGTATATTTCTTACTTGTGTCTACTGAATAGAGGAAAAAAATCTAGTTTTTTTCCCGCGAATTATCAACGAAATTGACATTTGAAGAGAAAACATTTTCACAACATCATTTCATATATCAAACTGTTCTTAATTATTATATAAATGCCACAATATAACTTTATTCTATGTGTATACTCTTCTTTTTATACACATATCATACATTTTGTTCGACTTTATTTCTCTAATAAATATGAATCAAAACTGTCAATAAATTAGGTGAGTGGGTTTTTCCGGTTTTCATTTGTTCTATATATTAGATATAATTGTTTGTCTTTACTTTCTATTCAGTTAATAAGAAAAAAAAATACAAATCAAGACATTATTTTTTTATTATTAATTTGAGATTTCATTTGAATTACATATAATAATACCATTATTACAATAAGTGATTTATTTATGTGTATATACACGCATAGTTTTTTCTTTCTTGCTATAAGCAATATTTCAATATTGTAAATAGTTATTTTGTTTAGTTTGTTTGTTTTTCGCTCATTTTTATTTACCATTAAAGATGTTTAGATAAATTAGATTTTTTGGCTAACAAAGTTGTTAATGAATAGAGATTGATCGATAATTTTCTTATATACGTGTATAAGTCGGTTTGTGTTAAACCTTGCTCCATACACAGCTATATATAAATATATGGTTTATTCATCATTTTCACAATTTTCTTCATCACCATTATTATTGTCGTCGTTGCTCTTCTCATCATCATATGTGTATTATTACAACGGAACAATTGTTTAATTAGTTGAGTGTAAGAAAATACTTTGGATCCCATCTACATGTTGTCAATTGGTTTGTGAATATTTTCTTGTATGGGTGTGTTTGCCCACATGTTTGTTTGTAATCATATTACACTGTTAAATTATTTATATATTTCCAGTTTTGCACATATACTTCTATACGTGCATATATATCCATCTATCTATTTATATGTGTATATACCTTTATACTCATAAATACATCGTCCGGCGATGGTGTCTATTTGCTATGGATTCATATTCAATACAGTTCAATTGATCAAAGCACTTATATATTCACATATAACATATATATCCACATATATTTCGACTGTTGACCATTGTTCGTGATGTTGCTAACACGTTTGCTAGGCAAGTTTAATTGTTTTAATTTATTTCTTGTTATAGATTGTTGTAACTTAATTATATATCTTCTTTTTTCAATGCATGCGTGTATTTGGTGATATTTTATTTACTATGCAAAATATGTTTTTGGTGCGTGTATTCATTTATTCTAATTATGCAAAACGTAGCACTTAGTATTTTATGCGTACATGTGAGTGATTGAGTGCGTGGAGTATTTAAGTAGCGCTATCTAATTTTTTTTATTGACAAATATTATAATTTGCGCGTTTGTTTATTTACCACAGCCCTGTAGACTATTTGCTTTATTTTTTTATCGATAATGCTAATTGATAGGTCAATGAACTTACATCAATAGAATGTTTTCATTTTCATGAAGTTTAAGGGATTTCATTTGAATATTTTGTTAGATCATCAGTAAGTTGAAAAACTATTGAAAACCAAAGCAGAAATTAAGAGATAGTTTTCCAAATCTCAAATGATTACACATCTCGGATTCAGACTTCGAAGATTTGAGTTGCAACCGTCCTTCGCTGTACTGTGGTGACTTTCAATCATCAATATAGACTCATTTAAAGTCCTTAGATGAACTCAATAAATCAAGTTAATTGGACTCCTAAAAAATATCAACTTAAATAAAGCGTCGTGTTATGTCTTTTGCCCCCATTAATTATCACGTGATAAAAGCGCCAATTACAAGGCCTACTTATTTGACCTTATTCTTGTGCTAAACAAGTGACACGTCTAACTGTTGTGATTCAGTTAGTCAGTCAGTAATAACGTAAAACTTCGTACGTACGTACATCAGTTCGAGTTGCCACACCACATTAGCACAGAGATGCAGCTGTCGATTCAAATCCCGTAGTGGTAGAGTTAGTAAGAGTATAAGTAGTAATCGGAAAGATTAGGATTTGAAGATGTTATTCAATGAGTGTAATACAGTGAGATAAATTTGAAAAGAGGTAAAAAGCGATATGACGAATTCAGAACATTAGAATTTGGGAGAACACAAAGAGTGGATGCACCTGCGCCATTGCAAACGATTTTGAGCCATATCATTCAGGGTCTCTAACCATCGGTTGCTGTCATCTCGCGGTCCCCAACCAGGTAGTCTACACCTACCAACATGGTTCAGTCCACTTGTCAGTGACTTCAATGTTTTGTGCCATGTTTTGGTCTGGCCGCCCCTAGCTTTCTTCCAACCTACTCCTACACCATAAAACGTCGCTCTTCGGGGAAGTCGGTCGTTGGGCATACGTAACACATGTCCCAGCCATCTCAACTGGTCAAGTTTCACTACTTCATCAATTGATTTGCCATCCTTACCTAATACCCGTTTCCTAACAACTGAGTTGCTTACTCGATTGTCCCAGGATATACGACCATTGCTTCGAAGACACCTATGATCAAATACTAGTAACCTACGGATATCCTCTACTCTTACCGGCCATGTTTCACTGCCATAAAGTAGGACGGGACGAACTACTGCGCAGTAAACCCGTTTTTTTGTTCGGTAGACGGATATCTCGCCTGTGCCATAAACGATGCAAGTTGGGAAAATCCAGTTTAGCCTTCTGTATGTGTGCTGAGACTTCGTCACACACCAGACCATAAGGGCTGATGAGACTCCCAAGATAATTTAAGCGGTCGACACACTCAACTGCTTCACTCCCTATCATTGGTTCAGGTGTCAATGCAACCCATTCCTGAAGCAACATTTTGCATTTCGAGGGAGAGAATCGCATCCCGAACATGCTTGCGTTGTTGCTTAGAATGGTCAGAAGACTTCATTTTATCAGCGTCTTCACCAAATAGAACTATGTCATCTACATATTCTACGTTAACAAGTGAATCTCCCGGTAGAAGTTCAACCCCTGGAAATCTAGACGAGGAAAGTGTTATCTCCAAAAGTACGTCGACGACAAAGTTGAACAAGAATGGAGAGAGTGGACGGCCCTGACGAACACCACTTGAGGTAATCAATTCTGATAACAGTTCACCATAAGGTCTCACTCGACCAGTTGTGTTTGAGTAGAGAGCCTCTATAAGGTTAATTCACTTCTTTGGTACTCCTTTCAGTGACAAACACTGCCATAGAACCTCATGATCAATAGAGTCGAATGCCGCCTTAAGGTCGAGAAATACTACCATTGTGGGGCGTCTGCGCGTGTGTCTGTGTTCTAGAACCTGACGTAGTGTGAATATCTGGTCTATACAGCAACGTCCAGGTCGAAAACCAGCCTGATTTTCTCTAGTCTGCTCTTCACGAGCTTTAGTTAGGCGTCGAAGTATTATTGAAGCTAATATTTTAGACATTATATTAGTCAAACTGATTTCACAAGAGGAATTTTGTCCTTTCTTATAGACTGGCACAAGCAATGATTGAGACCAGTCAGATGGGATTGCGTTCAGTTCCCAGATACTACCTATGGCCTCAGTCAATCTCACTGCTAATGCTGGACCACCATCCTTAAAAATCTCAGACATAAACCTGTCAAGGCCTACTGCTATCCCACGCTTCAGATTTCCTATAGCTTTTCCAACTTTGCATAGAATTGGAGGACATACATCAACTTGCCATTCAGGTCGACTGGAGATCGTGGGAAATCGAAGTGCATTTGAAGGCCAGTTGAACTGATCCCTAAAGTGTTCTGCCCATCGATCCAATCTCCTGGATTGCGAATGTATAATATGTCCATCTTTCTCTGAGAGTGTTTCACTAACAGTCGAATTCCTAATACCGGTTTCCTTAACAAGTCTGAACAATTGTCTGCTGTTACATAGTGCCGCTGCCTTTTCCATCTCTTGCTTTCGCTTCCCATCGCTGTTCACAATCATTGCGTAGGCTTCTTATCAGTATGCGCTTAAGCTGACTCCGCTCTTCGTTATGTTCAGAGCCAGATGGGATAAGTTTTCGAGCACCTATCAGTGCGATAGATGCTGCTGAGACCCAGTGTTTCTCCCTAACCTTATGGTTTACCTTACTAGCAGATATTACTGCTGTTTGTGTGGCGCATATATATTGGCGCTCTCTTATACCAATATTCATGTGTCCAAATAAATAATAATAATAACTGCTGTTTCCACAGCTTTTCGGATATCATTCTACGCTGCTTCGGGGTGGGCATCACTTACATGGCTGCCTAACTGTTTTTTTCTAGTTGTTCCTGAAATATATTCTTAGCTTGGCTATCATTAAGTAGGACCCTAAGAGGTTTGCTTGCAGCGTCTTTCCTACGCCCAGTAAGACGCAAACAAATACGCGCTTGCACTAGAGCATGATCTGAATCTAAGCATGTACTCCAGAACGAGCGACAGTCTTCTATCGAGCCCCTCCATCGATAGCTGATAGCGATGTGATCTATTTGGGTCCAACGTTGGGACGAATTAGGGGGTCGCCATGTCAAAAGATGTTTTTCCTTATGCTTAAAGTTAGTATTTGCAAGAAACAGGAGGTTATCTGAGCATAGCTGCAACAGACGGTCGCCATTATCTGTTCTTTGAGCCACGATGCTATAAGATCCATCCAGGTGTCTTTCCCTTTCGCTTATTTTACCTACTTGAGCATTAAAGTCACAAGCCACTATTACTACATCCGAGCGCCTAGCTTTTCGGAGAAGGCCGGAAAGCGTTCCGTAAAACTCATCTTTTACATCATCTGAGCTGCAGTCAGTCGGAGAATGGGCAGAGACGACGAAGAAGCAACGACGAGTGTTGCTATCTTTCCGAGTCCTTACTGTTTCGTTTAGTCAGACAGCTCACAAACGACTGTCTACTGGGATCCACTCTAAGAGGGCTAGTTCTGCCCTAGGACTCAATGCTATACCTACGCCAGCGAGGCCACGGGAAGCAGAATCAGAGCTTCCAGATACACGAAGTGGGAATCGAGTTGGTTCTTTATTTTAACACGTTGATGTCAAATGAATGACGCTACTCGGATCCTGTATGCGCGTTTCGGAGACGCAGCACACATCGAAGGCGCGAGATTCTAAAGTCTTAGCTAAGGAAGCCTGCTGTCCTATTTGGCACAGTGTTCAGAAGTTAAAAGCTCCTACCTGTAGTTTAGAGCGTGGTTTCAGGAGACCAGGAATAACGTTCGGCGTACTCGAATCGTTTGCCCTAGCGGTGCGAGGTGATAAAGCGATATGAGGAGGGTTAGTCATGGAGATAAGAGAGGTATTAGGAGGTGTAGGAAGGATTTGAATGTGACCAACTTGGTCTCGTGTGTTGTCAAAGGTATAGGAGCTGATGTCACTTCCCGGCTGCCTACACCATGGAAGGGTATTTCTTGAGGAACCTGAGAAGGAAATTAGATTGGTGTTGGTCTTAAAGACATGGGAGTGTGACCGCAGAGCCTAAGGGACAACTGCTTGAGGCCGGTCGTGCACGGCCTTTTTGTGGAAGGTTTTTGACGTGTTAGCTCCGTTCTTCAATAGGCTTTACCGCCGGAGACGGAAATCCGTGAGGTAAGGTGGAGTGTGACGTTCTTAGGGTCGACATTTTCTAACCCCTTCCTTCCTTGTGAGAAGGCGGTGTCGCTGCAGATGCTGGTTGTCTGAGGGAAACACCTTACTGCTGTCACACCCCTCTGCAGTCAGCAGTACGACTCCGCCCTCAGACCTTGAGTTGCTGCTTTAGTCTTGCCGTTCTACAATCGACCTGCCTGGCATGATAGAACCTACAGGAACATATGTTCCAGCCAATATTGCTCGGTTGGGTCATCACGATAGACAAGCCCCACCACCGCGTCAAGGTAGCAGCTACGGTCGTGAACTGTTGTGATTGGTCGGTCTATAATTGTTATGTCGGAATCGTTTATCACGTACACTTGTAAAGCGAGGAACCACTGAAATTCCAACGACACAAACGTTAGAACACAAAGACTGATACATGTGAAGATATATTAACCCCAAAATACGACGATGACGACGACCCTAGTCGAAAATACACTCATTTATATATTGATTCATACACTTATTTTTGAATAATAGTTAGGATAAAATCACATACATGAATAATACTTATAGTTATGACAAGATCATATGCTACATGTCATGTTGAGTATAGTTCATATCAATTTTTAATACAAGAATATCGTATGTCATTACATAACAGATTATCTTACAGGAAAACAGGAGCAGATATTAAATTGAGTAATCATTACATTGAATTAAAACGGAAGTAATCCTGAATAAAAAGCATAATGAGTAAATGCATCTAATTTTGACTTCTAATCCCGTAATATAGCAAACAGCACTAGCAACCTTGTGTCAAATCAGAATCCTTATTTGTCCTTCTCGCCTAGCCGTGGCCCTTAAGTCCAGAAAGCAAACTCAGCTTCCACTATATGAATCGTGTATTGTAGACATACGTGGTTTATGTACAAGCAAACCAGTCGTCATCACACCATAAAATAAAATAATTATAATTATACAAGATCAGTCCAAAAGTGGCTATAAGTGTGAGAGACTGTAACTTATTGATTGGTAATTACTTAAAATTAGTAAATCGTATTGGAGTAGCCAGTATTTCAAATAGGAATATATGTAATCATGGTCCATAAATAATTCCTAACAGTACCATTCATTTATTCATTTGGATGTAACATCTCATGTTAATATTTACATTTAATTGATTAATCACATCAAATATACATTATGTGTTCAATGCATGCGCTAATTGAGTTACATCAAATTTTCATGAAACTTGCGATAAACTCGAACTGTTCAGGATGATAATACTTTAAAGAAACAACCGTCTTCAAATTAATCAAGCATTTTAGTGTTAGTTATCGAAACTATTAGAATAATAGAAAACAAGGACAGTTGTCCTTAATAAGAATACCAAAAACATGTGGTCTCTTGTTGTTCCTGATCGTAGATTCATCATCCAGAAGACTGTTAGTATACCAGATTAGTGGAAGTCTGTGTACATAGTTCTAGCAGGACTTGAAATGATTGTTGAAGAGCCTGAGTTCCGAGGATTCGGAGAGATTTTTCGAATAATGAAAGTAAAGATGTGACAAGTATACTGCCAGAAATAAGGACTATTCCAATCGGGATTAATATTTACGTCCTAGACTTTTCCAATCATTGATTATAATTGTCTCAAATATCTGAATCGATAATAGTTCACAGTATCATCAACTAATTTACCTATCTTACATCTGTAAATGAAATTCATTTTGCTAGTTTGTCAGTTCTAATGCATCTAAGTGGTGTTTTGTTAGATGACTGTAAATCTAATACTTGTAATTTGGTTTTATTCTTAGTCTTGTTACAGCTCTGCTGCCTACTTATTATAGTCATTTTTTAATCATATCATAGTGAACTGAAATCTTATGTACATCAAGTCAACATGTTTTTCACATCATCAATAGTTTGATGAAAGAAATTTAATCCTTAGACTACATATTAATCAAATACTATTCGGAGTTCCTTTTTCTTCAAAACTCTACAGTTATTGATTTAATAACTATTGGAAATTAATTATAAATTCATTATCAACATTTCATTTCTACGTATTTTATTTATTTAACTTTTTTGGCACAAGTTAAAAACTTCAATCCATCTTATCGATTTACAGGCCTGTCTGTATTCTTTTTAACTGATTAATTTATTATATCTCTTTATATTTCTTTCTACTGTTAATTTCCTGACTTTTTCTTCTTTTTTCAGTCTCCAGTGATGTGGAGTCAGATTTATCGCAGGCTACAGAAAAACACATTTTCATTAAACAGCACAAACAGTTATTCAGTGATTCATTATCTCATCCTAACTATGAGAAATTGACTGACGATGTACAGTCGATAGTAAGTAAATCACTCGTTGATAAAGCAGATAATGAACAAGCTCCAGATGATCATCATTTTGAATCATGTGAACAAGAAATTTGTGCACATCACTATCAAAGATGTGGTGAACTTGAAGCTACATGGGGTAAAGGTGCAGATCAAGATGTTCCACCTTGCGAAACTAGTGAATTTCATGTAGATAAAACACATGAAAAACAAGTTTGTAAAACCGTATTAGATGAATCAAATGAAGAGAAGATTTGTGCATATCACTATCAAAGATGTGGTGAACTTGAAGCTACATGGGGTAGAGCTGCTGATAGTAGTACTAACAAAGTACAAACTAGTGAAAAACATGAAGAAATGTTGTCTATCGCACCGGGTATTGTACCATCTGAGCAGTCAGGGTGCACATATCAGTTGTCTGGCGAAACCGAAATTACATCAAGTAAACCTAAACCAGCAAATACATTTTCGATTGAAGATATAATGCAGCAACCATCATCATCATCATCATCGTCACAAGAGAAATTAACAAAAACAATCATCATTTCAAAACACACAAAATCAGATAAAGGTGAAATAAAATAGAAATTACCTTCTGTATGTTTGTGTATGACATCGAAGTACAGTTGTGCAAAAAACTAGTGTAGACTGTATGAATACACCCATTGAGCTTATGTTTGTTTGTCTCTCCGTTTTTTTCATTTAAAAGACTTAATTCTATTCTTTCTAAGTCTAATTAAAAATTTAGCTTCTTTTACTGTTGCTTAGTTGATAGCTCGCTAAACTGCACGAAATAATGATGCACTCACTGATCTTGATCTGTGATATGGAAATTAAAATTCTAATGAGCATTCATATATATACGCTTTTGTGAATAAAACACGTCTAGTTATTAGGGTTTTTATTATTGAAGATCATTGGCTTTTTCTTGTTGAAACGGTATCTGACATAAATAGGTATTTATAGCTTGTTCGTTTCATTTCACACATTTTATTTGAACCTAAGATCTATTATGGGTCTTAGTTTTAAATTTTACTAAACCTACTTCACTTTGGGAAACTAGGCAGAGTATCATTAACCATCATACTTAAATTTCGATCCAAAGCCGAGTGCATCAACACTTGTACTTAGTAAATGGATCAAGTTATATCCTGTTATATTCATGTTATTGCATATTTTATGTATCTCGATAGAATTACCACTCTCTATCTTTCTTTTATCGTGTATTCTATAGAGTTTGTTTAATTCTGATGTTTCAATAACTAACTGCTGATTGAAAAAAATGTATATTTGATTAGTGACATGAGCTTGTATGATTGTCTTTTTTTGTGTGGTTTCTTTTTCATTTAAGAAATTAGGTTTATTCCAGAACAACTTCAATTATATATAAAAATAAACTGATCATATGAGTACACAATAAGTCAGTGTTAGTAGCCTTTATTCATAGTATATGAACTCGACAACACAATAGACCGTATCTTAACATTTAAATTACGTGAATTGAAGTTCATTATTTGTATAACTATTCTCTTGTAAGCGATTGTATAATTTTTCGGTAGTGTTCATCTCATGAGACAACCTACTATGGGTTTTTTTTAATTTGTGGCGAACTAATTGGAATACCATTGAAAACCAGGTCAAATATTAAACGTCTGTTCCTTCTTATTTTGAGACACCTCAGAGGTGCTTATCGTTTTCGATAGAATCTATCATTGTTGTATTGTTATATACCGACTTACTGTGGTCTAAAAGTATCGTTTGATTATTGTGAGACGTGAAGTTGTGGTTTCGACACCGTGTAACATCTCGTATATATATGTCAATAGATAGCTCAGAAGTCTTACACTGCAGAATAAAACAACTATCTTTACTTTACAATGGTTCGTTCTCCGGCAGTTGATGATACCATATATTCATAGCTGAACTAAATTTTACCTAGTTTTTTTAAAGGAAATTCTCAATTGACTCTTGACTAATTGCAAAGATTCTTAAATAATGTTATATATATACAGAATTCAAAACATTATTTAAATTTAAAAACTGTATATTAATGAGACTTTGTTTCTTCAATTTGGTTCATTGAAATTGTATTAAATTACGTTTCACATTGAATCACTTGTTCATATCACTTAGATAAAAGTGATTAATGTAGATGTGATAATTAGATAAACTAACTACAAACTTTTCCCTATTCCACTCAATCTTAATAGAAAATGTATGATGAGATAAAACTTTAATTAATACAATAATGAATTATTATTTCCCTTTCACCTGTGCAAAGTTTGATGCAAATTGTGGACAATTTTTTTTTTGAAAACTCGTGTAGATTTATATCAGCCTGAAAGAAGACTGAATTCTTGCCAGTGTAATACATAACTGTTAACAACAATCTTAGCTGGAAATATGTTTACTAAAAATAGACCATAAGAATTGAGATCCTAATTATATATGAAAGTGGATATATCTGTTCGTTTTGCTTGTTTGTTCTTTTTCTATTCCTAAACTTGGTTCTTCATTAATATTAACATTTCAATGGCAAATGTATGTATGTGTATGTTAGTTTTTTATAATAAAAAAAACACTAACATTACAGATATCCATTTGAATTTGTGTTTTTTTTTAAGTTCAATAATTGAATACAATCAAATGAAATCACTCTTGAAAATATTTCTTATCTACTCGTATACATTTGTCTGAAATCTATTGAATCATTTCAATATATATAATTGTAGCACTGAAGTTCGAAATGATTGACTCGACAACTATTCAAATGTTTCATGTGTTTCTAAAATATTTGAGCTGTAGTTTTGAACCCCACTGTACATATCAAGGTTTTGGCAGTCATGCTTTAACCCTTGGTTCTTGCACAGTAGATATGGTTCATAGACTAGTATAAAAGCTAGTTCTAGCTTGCCAAGTGTCATTTTCATCATAGTTCAGCAAATGATTCTTAAAAGTAAGGAAACAATTTATATTGACTTATATTCGTCTTTTATAGTGACATGGCGTTGTGGTCACATATATAATTGTATGGGGCACTACTTTGTTCAGTAAATACGCTGAGATCAGAAGAAATTTATTCCCGCACAATTTTGGCCTGTCAATATTTATCCCTTCCAAAGTACTTCTCATTTGTCCCATCTTCCAGTTCATTGTTTAAGAATCCCTGGTTATTGTTAGGATCGTCAAGCACTTCATTATCTCATATTCTTCTTGAATTGCGTACATAGATAACTTTCCTGAATCCAGTTTATAAACAATCGTCCAAATAGTAAATTTTCGACTGGGATCACAAGTAATCATACATCGGATTTTCCACCAAAAACACAGCTGAGCTTGACTTCTATCGTCCTCACATTCTCGATAGGCCATACTGAAATGCTGTGTTCATTTGAAAAGTGTTGTTTTCTTCAAATTGTTACCTTTATGAACATCTTATGAATTTGTTCAACTGATATCTTAATATGATGATAATGTTTAATTAAATACCAACAACATTCTATCTTCAGTTTAAACTCGCATCAATTATTCAGTATTCTAATCCTTTTTTATTTTATTAGGGGTAATAGTTAACTTTTTTGACACTTTAACTTTCCTATTTTTATGTTGCTCTTGTCTAAAACTGTTTTTCTTTCTCTTTTCTTTCATCACTTTTTATGTTTGGATTTGGTTTTTTATACTATTCAAAACAAATACATCTAATCTCCCACCAATCCACAAATTCGCTGCCCACTTCACCTCTACCAAATCGTTTTCGTCTATTCATACTATTGAAATATTTAATAATAACAATAACTAAACTACGACATTCATAACCCCTAATCCTTTTTTTTGATTTCGAACTAACAAACAATCTTTCCATGAAATGTGTATGTGTGCTCAATGCATTTATGTGTATCTCTGCGGGCCTTCATTCATTTGCTACCCGTAACCTATTCGTCTTTACATCTGTCCTATATAATATACACTTTTGTTGTTGCTATGATAACACCTTTTTGTCACACAAATTATGTTTTTTTTAACTCTGTCGTCACTGTATCTCTGCGTCTATATCTCTCATTTATTCATCTATTTACTATGGGATCACTTATTCTTTTATTATGTGTGTATATTCTCAACTTTTAACTAATATTTATTAGATGACAATATTATTCAAAATAATATGGAAAAAGTCATGAAATCTAATCAGAATTATTATGATCACTCGCATAAACTAAACGATGACATTTATGAATTTCCTGATAGAGTAATTGCAATACCACAAATGGAACCCGTCGATTCGACAGAAATACTATTTGATGATACTTATTATAATAATATGTTAGGTGATTTACTACAGGGTCGTTCAATATTAGAACCATTGACACCTATACCGGAAACATCTGAATATTCGACAAGATCATCTGTAACTAGTATAAATCCAAGTTGGCAAAGTAGTGATTTAAGTCCTTCGGATTCGATTGAAATTCGTCCTGGTGGTGGTGCTGTCACTAATGTATCACGTCGTCTATTGCATCCATTTTCCCATTCAAATCGTACATCACATGAATCATTTAGTGGTCCACAAAAATCATTCAAAAATCCAGCTCTATCTGTACATAGTATATCATCGATTCATTCTGAACCGGATCGTATTCGACGTTCATATGAAGCACATTCTATGGAATCTCCAGGTCAGGATTGTCATATGGATTTGTCTAGTTCATTACGTACACACAGTAGTCGTTCATCATCGTTAGCAGAATTTTTACGTTTGGAAACATCTTGTGATGGTAGTCGTGGTGATCTGTGTATCGATGTTGATAATGACGATGATGATGATGATAAACGACTTTGTGAACATGATCAAAATTTACACGATCTTATTCAAAGTATACAAGAATTACAAAGACAACATTTAGATGAATCAACGGGTTTAATTACACCACCCAGTGGTGATGAGGATAGCTCTAATAGTCGCTTAGCTATTGGCTCCAATGATGTTGATCGTCAAATAGGTGAATCAATTAGGAATGCAGAATTAGAATCATCGGTGTCATTATTATCCGCTTCCTCTTTACCACAAGTTAATACTACATCTAGATCAGAGATGCAACAATTACTACAACCAATATATATGAGTAGTTCTAGTTTAAACTCCTCGGCACCACAGCCATCACCGCCATCCACAACAACAGCAAAATTGCCTGTGGGTATCACCTGTAGAGTTAATCAGTATTTCTAATAATTAGTCTATGACTGTCTATTCATCAATCTGTAAAATGTTTTAACCATAAACTTTATGTGTTAGGCTAACAACGTGCTTGCTATTTATGGTTGTTGTAATATTTGACCTATACATACTAATATATTTAGTAACTTTTCTCTCTATTCATTTTCTTCATCATGTAAGTACAGTAATTATCTATAATGTGGTTTTTTTACCAATCAGTATACGATTGTTTAAATTGTTCCTTCGATTTTTAATTTTTATAATCACCATTGCTTTAGTTCACAGTTGTATTTCGAGGTAGATATGCTGACTAGAATTCTTTGAAGTTCAGTGACGAACCCACTGGAACTTCTATCTACACGTGTTAGTTGCTTTATACTGATTCAGGTTTCATTAGCTCATACTGGGAACTTTCAGTTCAACATTAGTAAGCACGTTATTGTTGAATCAATTGGTGAAAATTGACTTCGTGTATAAGAACATTACTATAATATTATCAATATAACGAAGTTAACCGATTATTCAATCCACGAATTTCCACTATTCCGCTTTGAAACTACCCAGTCACTGTTAATACTAGTAAAGTATCATTCAATATGAGAACGTATTAGGTGTTTTAAGATCCGTTAAGTTGTGTAGATCGTTCTAAACTAATTGGAAATATCTATCGACGACTGACTATCATGCATTATTTTATGTACAAATAAGATCTATCTTCGATATAAATTACAAAAATAAACCTGGTTACCGGCTTTGATTTTATTTATTTTTATAAAGTTTATCACTATTTGTAGCATATTCTGCTGCTATGATTATTATTTGTCCCAATCTGTTCAGCGTACTTGATACTAACACTATTTTCACAAAATTCTCACTTTCACCAATTCTCTTTCTAGAATAATCATGGTTGCTTTGTCGTATATTTTACTTTTCATAAAAATGGAGATTATTTCCTTTTTATATTACACGAATCGAGAGTTCTCCGTGTTTGTGATGCTAGGTAATTGAAGATAGTCAACAGAAAACCGTTGACCTAGGTTTCTTGCTGATTGGCACGCATCAGCAAGGTGTACCTTTTTATCCTGATAGAATAGAACCTGCGTCACTCAGCTTCAGTATTTAAAGTTGCCACTGAGTTATTGGGCCAGTGACTGACCTATAAACTGATGTCTATAATGTAACAACGGAATCTGATTAGTGCTGAAGGACTAGAAAAATATAACACTGGTCGTTTCTCTGCAATCAATCAGTTGTTTGCACATTGTCCTTTGCAAAGGTTGAAAAATAGGTTAATCGACTGGCTAAGCCTCATTCGAACTATGATTAGTAATGTTCATTGTGTTTCAATAGTAGATTAAGTGAATTTCATAGTGTTTGTTTTACATACATGGGGGGAAGCTCATCATGAGCAACAGTTCAGTTGTTGTGTAGACTTCACTCTGAGCCACAAATTGCTCACTAATATTGCTAAACTACTGTTATGTTGACTTAACATTTTTAAGTTATTTTACATTTGGAATTTTAGTGTTTAGTATTGATCTGTACTCATATGTGTAGTTGCATGTTATTGTGACAGATATTTATACGAAAGCATACATGTATTTGTTGCAGAAAATAAACTAAACGTGTTTAAGGTTTTATACAGATGTATATAGTTCAGTAAGATTTCTCAACAGAATTGATCTTTTGTATGCAATTCCTTGACACATTTTGCATTAACACGATTGAGACCTCTTATGTTTGTCTTTTGAACATTTATACTAATCAATAATAACAATGTCTTGGAAACTGTCTTAAAACAGTTAATATACAATATATTCTTCAGCAGTCTTCTTTTTTTTAGTCTAAATAATTGACTGCATTTCTTTCGTCCGATGGTTACCTACTTACTCCAGCATATGCCACCCATCAGAATTCACCATGGAACTCTGTCCTGGAACAATCCTTTCATTTGCTGTCATGTACTATTCGTTCTTCACATATCTACCTCCGATTCTCGACATCATGTGTTCTTTAGTGTGCCTCATTTCTTCTGGCCTTCAGAACTCGAAGTTTTAACTTACCTCATGATGTAATTTGTTTATTTGCTCAATGTATGTCCTACCCACCTCTAGCGTCTTACCCTAATTTCCTCTTCAAGTGAAGGCTGGTTATTTGTCTGTCACAGTAGGTTGTTGCTGATGATATCCGACCAACGGACTTGGATTATCTTGCATGGACAACTGTTTATAAATACTTGCACTTTTTTGAAGATAATTGTGATAGTTCTCTAAAATTCAGCTCCATACAATAGAACTGTCTTGATGTTAACTGACAGTTGTTTTGAGTTCCATAATTCATCTATTGTTAGCTGGTTATTAATAGTATACCAATTTCACGGAGATTAGACAATAGTAATTTTGTCTTGTTTAATCTTTATCATTTAGTCACAAGACCTTTTCTTTTACTTTTTTTCATCAACATCTACATAATTTTATAAAGTAATATTGTGTAATAATTCTTTCCCTTGTTTTCTTCATTTTTATCTGAATATATTTAGGTGAGTAAATGACTTGAGGAATATTTATGCAAATATGGGTGTGGTACATAGTATAAAACCATCCCGTTAACTGTTCAGTGTGTCGTGGATATATATATACCATATTGTGTCATTGTTTTCCTTTCTACGTTATTTAAACCGTTTTCTTTTTTTCGATTTGAAGTACTTTGTTGAATAACTATAGTTATTACTCGCACTTATAGTGTTATATGATGGAACATTTCGTATTTAGTAGTAATAACCATAGCTTTATTTATATTTAGATATAAAAAAGGTTTTTTGTGTTTACCTTTTCTGTTTCGAATGAATTGTTTTTTTTTCTGAAAGAAAAACACAGCTGAACTTTAAAATAAAACAATATTATGAAAGGAAAATATCGTACATTTGAAATTTACTGTTAAAAAGCAATAAAAACTACGTTTTCATTGTAAACTGTTGATGTTGATGATCCTTTATCAAAGAATTTATTCGTTCAGTTGTTGTGGAATAGTTTTTATATAAATATAGTTTTACAGACGTGAACGCATATCACAGACTTGGACTAAAGACTGTTATTTATAATCTAATTTTTCAACAAGCCTTCCCATGTATTTTTCTTGTTTGTTTTTCCTGGTTGTGTACTATCTCTGCTTGTTCATAATAATAAAAATACAACAAGTAATTTTTTTTCAATTCAATCTTACAGTTAGTCGGCTTTCTTTTTGTTCTGAGCATGTTTACTTGGGAGCATTCTTTGTTTTTTGTCTGTCACCAAGTGGGGAAAAAACCTTGTAGAAATTGTCACTGAATTACGTAATTCTATGCACTTTCTCTATTGTTTGTTGTTTTTACGTCACTAAAACAAAACAAAAAATAACCAAAAACTGACTCTGTATGTTTTTTCTTTGTATTAGTTGTATCAGCTACAATTGTTTTGTGTTTTTCTTATTCGTTTGTTTTATAATAACGTTTTTCCGCATGTGTATTTAATTTCCTTTCCTGTGTTTATTCATTATTTGCATGTTGCAAATTCCTCAATAACACATTTGGTATTATTGCACAATTATTTTTTAAGAATTTAGCTTTGTGCTTCGTTTAAAAATTAATTAACAATTATTATCTTTATTTATTTTCAGTCTTTATAAATTGTTCTGTTCGGTAATACTACAGTATATATGTGTTTAATCCCTCTCCCTCTATGTATGCTACGCGTTATCATCAATTGCTATTGTAGTCATTAATACTATCATAAATTGTAATTTTTCTTACCTTCTGTAGTCGTATAATCAGGATGCTTTTCTGTCCTCTTTACATGATGGATTTAACTCCACTGACGTAATTGTTTGTTTGTATCGAGTTAAAAGTCTGAAATTAACTCTTTCCTGGTCGATTTAAAAAGCAATAGTTTATGGTAATGTTATTTTTCGATAGAATTCACCATAGCTCGTCTATGGAAATGAAAACACTACTTTTCATGCGTACCATGAACTAGTGAGTGAGAAGACTGACTAGCACCTTATTTTATTCCTTTCCTGGAGTATACTTGTGTTTTTTAGTTATGTTTTAAATAAAGTAGTTTATATTAGATTAACACTTAAAATTATGGGTTTCAAAAAGTTAGTAGTCGGTAAACGTCTACTCTATCGTTGGATGATTTGTTCCAGACTACCGAAATCCCCTGTTATGTTCTTAGGAATATTCTAACCTGGTTGGTGAGAATACATAAGACTTGTCAGGTGAAAAGTCATTTATAGAATACTGTACGTCAAAAGTAAGTCATATATTTATCTTCAGTAAGACAGCAAAGACGCTTAACTTCCAGAGTCACTACTCGTATAGCAAGTCTTCTTGGGGTTGTCCGTTTGGTAATTCTAAGGTCCTTTCCAAATATACTTAAGTAATCTTTTAGACCAAGAGTAACAGTCGTCCTGACATTCTCCAGCTATGGTATGTGTAAGATGGTTTATATGTTGATCGTAGAAAACGTTGATTTCACAGTTCATGTTGCTCTTAATGTTCAAGCTGAGAAAAAGCCATATTATGATATAGTATTTACTTATAACTCATTGACTTTTGGACCATTCTAGGTTTAAGCTGAGAATATAATTAAATAACAGATTTAGATCTGGGTATTTATGGATGTTGGCGTCTGTTGAATCAACATCATATTTCAGCCAATCCGTTAACAACATATTATGCTACCGACTAATAGTAGCACGCCACGTTGGAATTCTAGAACGTTCCATCATACTCTGATTTTCTAGGACCCTTTGGCTCCTTTTGGGCCTCTGCAGGCTCCGTTGAAGTTCTCCGAAAGCCGACTCAACACTAATACTGACCTTAGAACTAATTCTCAGATTGCTAGTCTTCATTTCGTTTCGTTCAACCAGATTGATAAACTATGCTCAGTAGTTTATCATCCATGAAGCAAATAATCAGTTCATATTGTTATTCCATT